TACCCATTCGACCTATTGTAGATGGTATAGGTTCCCGACGCATGAACTAGCTAGATAGTTGGCTAGCATATTGCAACCCTTGACAGGACAAACGAATGTGTTCGTAAAGAACTCTTATGACTGCGAGAAAGGTGTCGGGTCTTGAGGTTGAGACCGGATGCAATGATGGTCAGTTTCGACGTTAGCCCGCTCTTTACCAACGTACCAATATGTGACGCTTTGGAGATAGCGAAACATCGTTTAACTGAGGACAGTAAGCTGGGAGAGGACGAAGCGAACGGTAAACCAAATAACGGAAAGAATGAAATTGTGCTTTAGCATAACTTATTTCACGTTCCAATCTAGATTATACCATCTGGAACAGGAAGTTGCCATGGGATCGCCAATATCCCCTGTGCTGGCAAATTTGCATATGGAAGACTTTGAGAGGAGGGCGCTGACTGAGTGATAGATCAGCGAAAATTTGGTGGCGCTACATGGATGACACCATGTTATTATAAAACTAGAAAAGAAATACAAGTTTCTAAACCGCTTGAACACTGGCAGAGACTATAAATTTCAATATGAAACCGAAATCTTCCAGTGGCAGATTGGCATTCCTTGACTGCTTTGTTTACAGGAATGAGGGTAGTCTAAAAACAACGATATATCGTAAGCCGTCGGACAAAAGATGGTGCACTCCAGTATAGTTCAAGTCATCCAAAGCATATGTATGCTGGAATCGCCTTGTCTCTGTGAAACAGAGCCAATACGTTGTGCACAGTGGAAGGCTGCCCGGACAGAAGCAATTGTTTGGTAGTGGATACCCGAGTTGGTCAGTGAAAGACCAGTTGCAGCGAATGTTAAATCCTCACCCATGGCGTACTACGGAGTGGGTTGGGACGGTAGGTATTCCTTATAAATATGGAACTTCGGAGGCCATCCGGAGGGTAATAAATAAAGAAAACATAAGGGTAATTTTCCAGAAAGACCAAACGTTCCGCTCTACTGTGGTGCACTTGAAGGACTCACTTCCCGCAGATAGAACAACCAATTGCGTGTACAAAAATAGTTGCAGTGACTGTGCATACGTGTACATCGGCCAAACCGCGAGAGCTACGCACAAGAGGCGCATAACACGGCCACCGAGGAACGACATTGCATGTATGGCTCTACTAAGGGATTCGCCAGTAGCGATGCACTCGACAGATGCTAGTCATGAGATCGACTTGGATAACGTCGAAATCGTTAGAAAGGGGTTGCGATAAACGTCCCAATGGCTGACTGCTAAAGCGATTGAGATTGGCAAGGTGAACAACTACGTGAATAGAATGGACGGGGCAGAACTTTCGGACATGTGGCGAGCTGTCTTAAGCCGACCAATCTGAAGAGCGCCGGTGGACGGATCTAGGGCAAAAAATGAACACCGCATCATCCCCTTCCCCATCAGGATTTACGTGTGTGACCTTGTAACGTAGACCACTTGTGACCGTTCCATGCACTATTTGGAATGATGCGCTGACCAGTAACGCGTTTGACCTACTGCATACATCCCATTCGTCGCGATTATCATCCCAGTTCGCCATAAGTGCTATACCAATCCTCGATTGGTTCACTCGGTCTGACGAAGCTTTTGTGTCTAAACCGAAACGTTGCCCACAAACTATACCAACCGGTTGATTTCACTTCTTTCTGAAATCGTGAGTTCTCGATTGGTTCCAAGATGTTGAACGGGTGTATGACATTCGGATCCTCGATCCTCTGGCCGGAAGCGACCAATCAGTTCTTACTGTTAAATGGAACTGCCGCTGCAAAAATCCCACGTACTGCAGCCCACTAGCAAATATTGGAAGACGGATTTCGACAGCCTGGCTCGAGCTTCGAGTCAAGTGAATTGGTTTCTACCGTTATCTGCAACTGCTAAAGCTTGTTGGTCAGTTGTAAGGAATGGAGCAAATTCATTGTGTAACCAGTTTGTGCTCTCAAGTGTCGGAAAGTCGGACCGGTCAAGCCACATTGGTTCGATAAGGAATATGGTAAGCTGGCTCGGCGGCGACGAAGGCTGTGGGACAAATTCTTTATCTTTGACTCGGTCGACAACTACGTGTACGAAAAAAAGCGAGACATTTGCAACACTGCGAAAAACAGCAAGCGCCAACATTTCGGAGAACGGTTTCTAACCGCATCAGAGTATCGGCGTAGGCGGGGTCTGAAGACAGCAGGTGACTTACCGGTGATAGAGGACGTGGACGCACAGATTCTAAGCATCAATGAGCGTGCGTCCGTCTTAGCAGCGCAGTTTGCTTCTGTGATCGAAAAATGACCAGATGTCTGTATCGAGTTCGGCGTCTACCGCCCTCAACGAACTCAATGGTTTGGGGGCTCCGCACTAAGCCTGCTAGACCTGGTGGGCTTAGCTCCTTGATTCTCAAGTCCTTATCGGCCATCACCGCGTGCCGTAACTGATATGTTCAACTGGTCGCTATCCGGAGGGTAACTGCCGATCGATTGGAAATGCTCGGTGGTAAGACCTATCCCAAAAAGCCGTGACGCCAGAAAAATATACGACAACAGGCCAATTTATTTGACACCTGTTTTGGCCGAAGTTCCCGAGAAGAGTGTGAAGAAGCATTTGCTACAGCTGTTCCGGTCAAAAGATCTACTGACGCCCGAACAGCACGGTTTCATGCCAGGTTGTTCATGCATCACCAATCTGCTCGTGATGATGCATAAGCGGTTGCAAACAGTGAACCGGGTTAAGTCTGTCGAGGCGATCGACATCGATTTCGGTAAAGCATTCGACAAGGTGAGGTCCTCCACAAGCTTAGAATGTGCGGTGTTAGTGGCTCACTGCGCCAGTGGATCTGCGTGTTTCACGTTAGACGAAAGTGGAGAGTACAAATCAATAGCCACCTGACCGACTGGTATCCTACGACTAGTGGCGTACCCCAAGACACTGTGATGGGGTCTACAGTATTCCTAGTTTGAATCAACTGTCGACTTCAGCTTTTTCGGTCGCTGTGTGCCCTGTTTGCAGACGACCTGAAGATGTGTAAAGTGATAGGCATTTCCGACGACTGCGATCCACTTCAGCAAAATCTAGACCGCCTTTCCATGTTCTGAAGAAGTCCGCCTCCCGGTCAACCCATCCAAGTTGGTATTTATGAGGCTGGGGAATGGTGAACGGCGAACGTGCAGTCTTGACAGCCAATTGTTACATCCCGCACCTTCGGTGAAGGAGCTCGACCTACTCTCACGTTGCGATCCGTGGACCACACGAACAGACTACACCGAAACGGACTGCGCATGCTCAAGACGCTAAAACGCAATTTCTACATCTGGTCTGAAGAGGTTGCCATTGGCTTCTTGTCCTCCAATGCTAGACTACGTCTCGCTCGACCATTGGGGACGACAAGCAGTAGATCGAACGGGTTCGATAAGTCGCTACGAGACTCATCACAAGTTTGCTGGGCTTATCGTACGAATACAAGCGCGAGGGACTGGGACTATACACCTTGGTCTGTCGTTGGTTGCGAGTCGACCTCAGCATGACCTGTACACCTACAACATCTAGGTGATTTCTCCATGCTGACGCCACTGCTCCACTTGCGAAGATGTTGCAGTGCACGCGGACACCAGTACAAGCTTGTGGTTCCAGATTTGAAACGAGTTCTCCATCTCTTGTGCTTTGAACGGCGAGTGGTAAATGTTTGGAACAGTTTGCCGGAGCATATAATGCAAGCAAACTCAATGCCGCAATTTAAATTATTGTTAGATGAGTATTTCATCAATGTTTGGTGCCGAGAACGACTGGGCAATGAAATCTCACTTGTGAGTCCCAATTTATTAGTACACGTTTTTCACGATATCAGTGAGAAGTTGAAAAACCATCAGATGTTGACAGATCATATATAAGTTTTTAACGTTTATGATCATTTTTCGGTGGAGTTCTACAGATCCGACTTTCTACTTGCTCCTATAATACAGTTAGCAAACGCCGTATAGTAGATGTCTGGGAACGTTTGCAACCGCCAAACTAGCGGCTCCGTCGAATCCGGTTTGCTGTACCTTGTACTTCAGAATCTCTTGTCAAATGTGTTTGCACCTGCTAATTGTTTTGCATTTTCTACCGTTTGGTTTTTCGCCTCATTATTTTTGGGGAAGCGGGTCATATCATCGCATCGCACAAACAATCTTAATGTTGAAGGCCACTCTGTATAACGGTACATATGCAAAATACGAAAGAAAGTCACTCTAAACGCAAAGGTGAGTCTACCGTATTTTCAGCTGTTTGATTACGCGTTCAAACACCGCATCGTTTCCGAGTTAAAGGAGAAGATTTTTGAGGAAACTATCTAGACGTGGCAATACCTCTTCAACGACCAAATTAGTTGACGGAACAGACCAGTCAAAACGCGCATCTAAGAAATTCACAGGTACCAGCTAACACTTAAATGGCGAGGTAGTTGCCTTTTGTCGGTCACGAGATGCAACATTTTGAAACTGCAGCTGTCAATATTCGGAAGATATCCCTAATTGAAGTCAGCCCATTGTCGGACGAAAAAAGTAAGGGATACTGGTAAAACGAGCGCGATTTTTAAAACGGATTTTTTAATATACCACGCTTTGCGTAGGTGACAGAGTCCTGCGCCACAGCCGAAAAGCCCCCTACCAACGTGTATGATGATGATGACTCGTTGTGGGAATGTTTTGCGACATGCAATTCGCATTGAAATGAACCTTGGTCAATTCTATCACCGTGACCTTGGAGCAGATAAATATTGTGGCACACGCCTAAGAACAATGGACCCCACGTGAGGTGTGGAACTGCCTTGATCTCGTCAGGTACAGAGAGTAGCCACACGAATAGCGTATGTCACAAACGATTCACACAATGGGTACGCCAAACAAGACAACAGCTGAGACTCAACCGTTGTCAAACGTCACCGACAGTACGGAGGAAGCTGTTTACGACCCCTGGGTTCTGTGTTCTAAGCTGAACAACCAAGAAAACGACCGTGGAGGGGAGAGCAAATCACATCCAATGACAATCTATGTACACACACACACACACACACGGGATAAAACCGCTGAAGCAGGAACAAAAGCTGTGGGTTCGAAATTCCGTCCGCTGCGCATGGACACAGAAAGTAAAAGAGTTGGATCAACATGCAGTTTCGGCATACAGCGATTTCCTTTTTAACGCAAATACATACATAAGATACATCCAATAGGAAGCACAATTGAAGTAAGAAAAACGTGTCAAGAAGAAGACTAATCAAGTTCATCTGAGAATAGGATTGTGAATATAGAATCTTAAATAACTGGTAGGTTTCTTTTAGACAATAAAGAGAGGACAAAAGGTATCCGGCCTGTAACCCCGACATCGCCATCCACATGGCTCTTCCAGAGAAGAAACTTTACCAAGTGGTGGGTCATAACAAGAGGCTCCAGTGCACGGAGAGAGGGTAAAGAGGGAGTAGGTTTCTCCACACTGATGCATGTCTGTCAAATTCAGCGCGAATGCACTAAAAGACAGCATCAGCATGGAATTAACCTCAGCAGCCAGTGACTTTAAAGGTTTCTCCGGAGTCCTTCGTAATACGCAATGTGGTGAAGGTCTAAAACGGCAAAGGAAATAAGAACGATCGATGCGATAGTCGGGATTGGTAAAGTGTGTTCTGAAAAGTCAATCACGTTACTGCATCACATTAATGTAGCACGAGAAACGATTAAGTCGATCTAACATTGCTGGAAAAGCTAGTATAATAAACAAGCGACCGATATCAGGTGAGGAAGACCACATCCATGAGCACTGGAAAAGGGAAAATAACGTTCGTCGGCGGGGAGGGTCAAAGTAGAAGAATCCACCGTATTCACATTCAAGTAAACAGCAATCAGCGTATCTATAAAATTCGAAGCAGGAAATTGCTTTCATAATTCCAGAAAATCACTAAATAGTGCACGATTCTGTAGGATTGTTCAGGGACTGGAACCAGAAACTCAACTTTTGTAACTAGATAGTTGAACCACCCCCGTTGGCCAACATCAGCCAATATGTATAATTGACTGATCGCAATCAGATGCGACTCGCAATTCAGTGTTATGCGCTCGTTTTCAGCCTGCGAAGTACAGAGTTAACTCTCTCAGACACGATGATACCCAACGCTGGGCTGCTGAGCACACCAAGTATTGGCAAAATATAGCTCCCCCCCAGTTATGGTGGCCGGTGTCGTGCCACGAAATGAAAGAAGTGCGGACCACAGCGGCTTAAGGAGCTAGAAGAATGAACCGCAGGTCTGTCCCCCTATAGGGACAAAAACAGCTGTGTAGTGCAATACTAGATGTGTGTGTGCAGTCGTGGCGAATACCATCCGAGACTGAGAGCAATGAGCCAGGCTAGTGTGTGATGACCTAGCGATGGAAGTCATGTAGCTGAAATTAGAGTCTGTAATCCGCACATTGGGAAACCGCACGCCAGTGAAGGACGCGTAGCGCTTTATCGAAGCTACGGTTACTCGCCCAAAGCGGTGGCAAGCGGCCCAATGAACATCAATACTGCGTCGAAGAAGGAAACGCGCGAGTTCAAACTATCTCGCGAAGAACGAAACGATTGGATATATGTTAGGTGCCTTTGTAGTCTGGATCAACCAGTGCAGTCCAGTTAACTATGATTGGGACACCGAAGTGCGGTAGATGTGGTTGCCACAACTGCGTAATCAGGATAACAGCAAGTAACAATGATGAATAAAATGAGGTTAAAAGCGAAGAGAGTATAAAGAAAAAAGTGGAATATTAATAGCCGGACACAAAAATGACCGATTTACGAGCGCCACTGAGTCAGCGGCTTTACAATATCGGATAATGCACTAAAAGACCAACGTGACTCATCCCTAAATCTCGTAAGCAATTTCCGCTACGTGATCGGCTGACTAGTTTGCATTCACGCCAAACTTATTAGGAGATCATGCTTTGCACGGGAGGGCGAAGAACTTAATCTAAATGGTTCAAGTTTAACAGACCCACCTGTAAGGCATCAGGGAGTCGCTCATCGAACCAAATGGTGGAAATTGCCATTGCTTCCATGGTGCTCTCACCAGATATAGATAGTAGGATACAAACACTGGTGATCAGAAGCGACGAATCGTCTAATATTGTCAATGTGAATTAGCCATGTTTCAGATCAACACACTAACAGAAATACTACCGCCGCGTTGCACACCCTAGTTTTGGTAGGTTGATATCCCGCCTCCTAAACATACAGTGCAGGAACCATTTATTGGCCGTAATAATACAGCGGTGGCCGCACCAAGGTAAGAAGCGGAAGTGCGGAACGAACTATTTATCGTGGCAAATATCATCAACTATATGCAGCAGCTGTGACCACATATCGTTCAACTCATCCTCGAACTCCATCTTCGAAGCTGCGTGGCGTGCGCCGCTTCTGCATTTATCCCCACTGCACATACATTTCGGGTTTTCGGGTGGTTTTCTTCAATTGGGGCGTTGGCATGGCCATTTTCTATACTACTGACATTGGGCGCATTAGCACCTGTCTTGTGTACATTACGAGACGATTGAGACCACGAAATGTCCCAAAGACTTCGCTAGCATGTGAAGTAATCACAATAATGCAACCACCAGAAATGATACAACTATCTTACTTTGTTTACTTTACTGCGGCTAGCTCCTGTGACAGGATGAGCCGCTTCATGCATGTCGCGGATTGCAGCTACCCAAGCCCCGGAGTAGGCGGCAAGCTCCACGCAGATACTGATCCAATGATTTTTCCAGTGACGATCACCATGCACAAGTTGGAGTTCCAGAAGATCAACATCTGATTTCACTACAGCGAGCCACGTTTTCAATTGTTCACCACAGTGACGACACCAACACTGGCGAAACCACGGCCCTAGTGACGTCAATCTCTGGTCTATGGAGGACGCGAACGTACCAATGAAATCTGCGGCGTTGGATGGGCGCTGAGAATTTCGGAAGACCGTCATAGCGCTTACGAACTTCGTCATTGGCTTATGCCACTACGTTTGCAAGATAAGCCTTAGACACCAATGGTCGAAGACTTTCAGCTTCCGGGTGTCTTCGGATCGCAGAGGCCATGTTTCGCAACCATAGAGTCAAATGGCAAGAATGGTTGCTGAGAATACTTGGATTTGCATTCTCATACTAATTTGCGTCCCTCACCATAACGTGCTTCTCAACTGTAAGAAGGCTGCTCCGGCGCAGTCAATACGATTCCAGATTTCGGATCTAGCCCGACAATTGGGAGAATAGTGGATCCAAGGTACTTGAATTCAGGAACAGACTCGATGAGTTGTCCATGTAAGGGGAGCGACGGGGCGGACTGGGTGGCTGACGATGAGAAGCACTTCGTCTTGCTGATGTTAATTTCGAGGCCGATCATAGAGACTGATAGGTCGACCCCATTTAGCAGTGGCTGTAGTGATATAGGGATCTTCCGCGAGGACAGCGATATCGTCAGAAAATTCTAAGTCTGACAGCCAGAAGTCAGGGCTAAGTTGAACACCACGTTAGCCCTCAATGGCATGATGCATAACCCAGTCGACTGCGAAATTGAATAGCACTAGAGAAAGTAGGCAATCTGCCGGACTCCAATATTGATGTCGAATTCCATTTTTTCTTCTCCATAGATGTCATCAAGTTAACGAGTTTAACCGGCAAGTAGGATTCGCCAGTGTTTCGCGGTCAACTGAGTCAAAGGCAGCTCGAAAATCAACGAAGCAAACAAACGTGGGCTGCTGGAAGTGGTAACAGTGTTCGAATACCCGAGGTAGAGTGAACATTTGGTCAGTGCAGCCTCTGCCTGGATGAAAGCCACCTTGGTTATGGCGAGTTCGCAGGTTGCTCTCATTGGCAAGACAGGAAAGCAAGCGTCGTGCGAAGGTTTTAGCAGCCACATTGATTAGGCTAATCCCATGGTAATTACTACACACAGTTCGGTCACCTTTCTTGGGAAATGGCAGTAGTACTGAGGTACTCCACGAGGAAGGACAGATTTCGGTCACCCATATCGAGCAGAAGAGGTCGTGCACATCTTCGAAGAGGGCTGGTAGACAAGACTTCTAGATTTCGGCTGGAATCCCATCCGGTCCAAGAGCTTTCCTCGGCTTCAGGCGGCGAACGATATCTGTGCGAGATCGCGGTGAGCAATCCGCGTCATATCCTGACTGGATTAACGCTGAAATGGATGCGGTGGTGTGTATTGGGCGGTTTAGGTTGCTAAAATACTCTACCCACATGGATAGATTTCCTTCCGTAGCTGGAATGATTTGGCCATCCGAGTTGTGCAATATCGGCTGTGGTGAATAGCGTTTGCCGGAAGCTAAATGGATGAGACGAAATAGATGACCCAAATTGCCACTTTGATGCACGTTCCAGGTTGTCTGCGATAACAGATCAGTAGCGGTTGCGATAAGTCCGTGTTGAGCGGATTGCCTCAAGCATCAAGCGACGGTAGTCTGGGAAATTCTTGAGATGTGCTTCTCTCGCTTTAGCGGACAAGCGGATAGTATCTTCAGTGATCCAGTCCTACACAGGCTTCGAGGTAGAACGCAGGGTGGATAACGCGGCGTGTTGAACTGACGATTTTAGTCAGAGAAACGAGCGTCGACAGGTCCATCTTCTGCAAGTACGAGGCGTGGTGCACTGGCACAAATTTCTGCTTATATTTCTGCCCCAAGTGATCGGCAACATTCAATAGTTTTCAGTGGGGCAGTTTGATACGTTTTGATGGAACAGTCTTCCGGCGCGTTGTCAAGCGGAGTCTGAATTTGGCGCGTAGGAGTACGTGATCCGAACCTCCAATATTGCCCGTTCCAGCCCCTCTGCACACTCGACAGTCATCGATGGAGGACATCCACCGGGATCGGATTAAGATGTAATCTATATGGCTAGCTGTACGACCATCCTTTGAGTATCACGTAAAAAGATGTTTCATGGGATGCTGGAAGCGAGTAATGGTTATGCACAACCGGTTAAGGTAAGCGAAGCTGTGCAAGCGGTCACCATTATCACAGCGCTCTCCAAGGAGTATCGTCCGAGTGTGTGACGAGTCTGATCGTTCCTCGGCCCGGTTCGTGCATTCCAGTCCCCAGCAATAATGAGGATGTCGCGTTTTAAAACATGGTTCACCACTGTCTGTAGAGAGTAGGGTTAGTGCGTAGACAGAGATTATGGTCAGTTTCATCGGATGAGCTTTGAAGCGAGCAACTGCTATTCAAGTTGATATTGGCTTCAGTGAAAAGAGAGCGACGTGTGTCTGGCAACTGAAAGACATGGCAACCCCATGATTACCAGAATTATCTTCCGGCCCACTGTGGTAAAGTCAATATGAAGTGTCTACACCAAGGACTTTGATTTGTTGAGAGCCAAAGCCGGTTATTCGAGATTCTGACAGGAATGCTATATCGAACTGGTAGTCATGTAGTGTGCGCATGGTCAACGTTTGGCTGCCAAAATCCAACAGAGTACTGACATTTCAGTATCAAATGAATAATGCCTTTCAGAGATTAAGGGACCCAGCTAGCTTACTTGTCACTCTGGCCACTGGGTCAGTGCAGAGCCCGTCACCTACCGGGAACGCCGTAGCGTGAGAAGAATCCCGAGTAACGGGCATGCCTTGAAGTGTCGTGGAGATTATGGGTACGTATGAGGATCCCAACCTCATCCGGCTTTTGTTCGAAGGCTTACCTCTAGGCTTTGTACAGCCAAGTGTTACCTCCAAAGCAGCAGGATCTGGGAAATCGTCTTAACTTCTGGCCGTTGGAACAGAGGTCGATCTCTTCCGCCCAGTTGTCAGGACTGACGTTGAATGTGGGTACGAATAGTGTTCCCGGCTACCCTCACCTGGATTAGCCCATCTGCCTGACGGTTAACCGGGGTGTGGCCGCTGCCGCGAACAAGCAACTTCTTGGAGCCACAGGTGAGAGCTGGGTGATAGGTGAAGAACAAACGTAGGGCGGACTACCCAGGAGCGTAAGGCAGATCCCCTACCAGAGGTGCTACTCCTCCCTGGTATCCCGGACATCCAGATACAACTATCAAGGGCGAGTGAACCGACCGACCACTTTCAGTGACTGTTCGGTTATAAGCAGTACTTTGACAATGCGAAACATGTTAAAGCACGCGACGCTATGTGTCGGTCGATTCAGTTGCACTCGGCATAATGGGATTGATTGGAAATATGTCCAATTAGGACGCTGAGAGGACCCTTATCTGCGATCATTTCGATTAAAAAATTGAAGGAGGAAAAGCATCTAGGACAACTGCAACGACGCCTACTAGTAGTGGAGGACTAAAGATGCAGCTTCTCGTAGTCTCTCCGCGGTCTCAAGAGTCGCGGTAAAGCGTTTAGAACGAAAAAACTTTCCATGGAAGATTCTAACACCAACAGACAGTACTATAAGCTCACACGAGTAACAGAATCAAAAGTAGTTTTTAAAATGAGGAAAAACATCAGGGTGAATTGCCTGTGTGTGTGTGTCGCTGATCCTACATATCACAAAGAGCAATTAAGTAAGTGATGAACATTCGACCAAGGTGGATGCCACCCTAGCTCTTGCTGATCCAGTATCTCATGAAAACCAGGGGTTGGAAGCATTGGAAATGAGCCTAATTTTTGGTTGATTTTCGCACAATGAAATGTCACATTTCAGTCAGAATGCTGACAATCGATGAAATAAAGCTGTCATCAGAAGTATGTCGGCACACGCAACCACCAACGGTCACGCATGGGCTGAGTATATTGCGAGGACGCCCGCTTATACGCGGATGCGGATCGGTGACCTAAGGATTGCAAGCCACGCGTGCAAATCTTTCGACGACCGGCCGACGACAACAATTGATAGTGGGACCAAGGGCCTTTAAAATAGAAGCAATGCGATTTGCGGTCGATGTCGAAACCGAATGTGCGAATATCAAGCGCACTGGTAAACCGATGAGCAAGCCGTTAGTCCGCGAATCGGCCTCTGTTCACAAATGACAAATTGAGCCGAAAAGTAGTATTTTGGATAACATTAAAGGAAAGCAGTTGTCCAAGTCTCCAAATTCGAATACCTGCTGGCTGTTGCCTCCATGTGTATAGTTTGTCAACACAATACGTAGTGGTACGATGATGACATGATAACAAAAGGTGCGAGGAGAGTAATCGCGAAAATCGGTCAGTTTGGTATAGGTCTTCCTCCTGATTGAGGTCGGTGAATGTAACACATTAGCAGTTCGGAACTCTGGCATGATGTGTATGGCCTCCAATTGTGAAGCACTTCAATGAATGGTGGAGATTTTCGCATACTTCCTAAAGAAGCTCTGCGGTTCTCCTCATTCAATTGCAATGTAAGTTAAGTATACTGTTGACCAAGGGAATCAGATGCAACGAGCGTTGAACATACTGGGCCATGTAAGCACAAGCCCGATTGTTTTAATAAACACGCCAACTTGGTGCTGAAGCTCAACACAGTAGCAATCTAGGTATGGACGAGGAGAGAATCAACGCGTATCAGAAATGAGTAATTTTTCGGAGGCAGTAAACTGGTGCAAAACGCGGACAAGTGATGTCCTTTCGCCGGGTGGCTACTATAAAACTGTTTAGTAAAGGTAGACTGAGGTCATGGGAATAAAACCTACCTCCGTGCATGTCGGATGGATACCAATTGTTCGGTCAAAGTCTGCCTTAGTCGCGCCAATCTGCAAGGCAACTGCATAGCCTTGGGTCATCTCGCCAGCGTTCGGGCCAACTACGTGGAAGCCCACAACTTGTTCGTTCTGTGAGAGAGACAGCATGTGAATCAGTCCCAGTTCACGGAGATAAGCGTGGTGGAAAAATGATGTGTAGAACACGTACCTTGGATTTGTTGCACACGAGCTTGGCGTAGCAGACATTATCGTCGCGGTGGGGCAAAGACCACTCGAGCGGATTGAAGTGTGAATGGTACACCTGAGGAAACACAGTGGACGAGTGCGCAAAAGTGCAGGAAGAAAAAGAGCGCAAATCGAATTGATGAGACAGTGAGAGATGCAGGGTAGTTGGCACCCCAATTTTGACACGTGATATGAGCGTAGCAAAAAAAGGATGGAGAAGAAGGCCGTGAGCGTTACGTCACAATCGAAGAGTACAAGCAATGCTGCAACTGCGTGATCGAACTTGTGATATGAGCGTGATAACAGAAACGGAGCTGAATACGATGCACGGCCGCGCAGAAAAAGCACATACAACACATGTGATCTCTCAAAAACGTTTCGCGCAGATTAACTGACTTCGGTACTTCGATTATTGTTTGGATATGACCCCAACCGGTTGTTTAAAACACGAACGGACCACTCACCTGAGCAAGTTCATCAAATGAGAATGACGGCTCGCTCTTACATGTGCTCTACACGAGCACATCGCATCGATCAGATGAAACCGAAATGACATGGTAAAATCTACAACATTAAAATACTTTCAACAGTAGCCGTTCATCGAAAGTACATCCGAGAGGATACACACAGTAATTGAAAAGGTCACTTCGAAACACTCATTATGTGAATGGATTGCAATGCACAATATCAATGTGAACTGCGATTCGCATCGAAGTGAGCTTGGTTCCGTGCGATCACTGGGACCGCGTAGCTGATGAAGCAGATGAAGATTGGGTGTTGTCATCCGCCTCGGAAACACTGCACTCCCAAGACCGGCTTCGAACTTATTTGCTCAAAATAGGTGGCAGAAAGCATCGAGCTTGATGCGTTTGCGATGCCAGCCGGACGTGAAGTGCAGTGTTCCCTGGGCGGGCAACACCACATACACAAATGCTTCGTCACCTAGTGAATTAGCACAACACAGACTGCGTAACAATGGAAATTCCTAGTACGTAAACTTTGGAGGGCATGAATGGGTTCCGTTGTGCTCGTTCATAATGAATAACTGAGAGAGAAGGACAAAAGTCGCTCGGAGAGTTGCAGCTCAGTTTGCCGACTGAAATTCGTGCGCAGACATGTGGTGAATCAATCTGCTTCAACATTTGTTGCCAAAAAATAATAAAATGACAATCAAAATCATTATGAATAGAAAGCCGGATGGAAAAGCAAAGAATGCAGCAGCGTCATCACTCTCGTGGCTGCACTATATCCGAAGTGATGAACAACTTAGTTGACCAATATCGTGGTCTCCACATCTTTGTGGCAAACACCGACAGTACCAAGTGCTACAGCGTGTAGCTTACTGCTGCTGCTTACCATGTTTTGGGATGAATACGTTGATGCCACACCCAATCAGATGCGGTAGTACCGGACAAACCACACTAAGGCAACGGACTGTGGCGTGTGAAGCAAAGGACTCCGAAGCTAAGGACGATTTGAGCTCAATAGATACTCCAAGGAGGCACCAGAGAGTACGCACATTCAGAAAAGCGTGGATAAGACGGAAGGACTACTAGGTAAAGGCAGGAAAACATGCAGGAACTCTATCAGCCGCATCAATTAGAATCTCTACACATCGATACAACCAGTTCCAAGACAATTGTCAAGATGGAGAGCAAGAAGCGACTTTGCTGGTATTGGTAAAGGCCTTCCTCTTGTTGTGACGAAATATCGATTAGCCACTCTGAACCATCGCGAAGATACATGAAATATTGATTGCACAGATGGGAGTAGGAACGCCAAGATGCAAAAGGCATGCGGCCCGATATGATCCTTATGTCGCGAGTGTCCCAAGACCCTCTGTCTCATTCAGCTTACAGTACTTTGTCCATTATTGCTCTAAAACTTCTAGACCCAGCGCACCCCTACTCTAGGTGTGATACTATCTTCCTTGATGGTCGCCTGTCATGTTTAATGTCTAACTGTGTAATGCGATAGTTCATAGGATTGACATGGAAGCCTCGGGTTTATCGCGTCACTAATTCGCCATAATATTTCACTGGCGGCGCCGACGCCCGAGACATATGAATCACGTGTGTGCCCACAGCAACGGCCACAAAATAGCCCTCATCACTCTCTGTCCAACCTGCATCACCCTATGCATGCTACAGGAAATCTTTCCTCAATAACTGACTGTTAAAATTCCAGACCAAGTGTCTCTGTCAGTAGTACCGAGCTGTATTGACATCGTAGCGTTTGGACTACCGCGTACCAATGCTATACCGTCACCTAACACTTGCAGAACTACTTATTGACAAGAATTATGCAATAGCCATGTCTCCGATCTTTGCGTTCTGTGCCAGATGCTCAGTAGTATAGGCTTCTTTCCCCATGGCTAATTTGCATCCGGTTTTAGATGTATAACGCAGGGTTAGTGAATTAGGCGATGCCTCTGTTAAATCGCATGAACGTTCCACGCAAGTATGCGGCATTACATTTGATAGCGTTTTATTAAGCACCACGGAATTAAAAAGTTGTAACTGGTGGCACGAATGTACATTATTCGTAAAAAATTAAAAATGCCATCCGAAAATCGTTCCGCAAATTTGGTAAACAGTTTATAGTAGCAGTATTCTTGTTCGACTTTTCCAGTTATATTCTCTTGATGTTCCTTTTCCGATGTGGATGCAACCGAAAGCAAGAGCCCGAAAAAAACGAGGAAGAATTGGCGGACCGATCGACTCGCCAACTTTATAGATATTCCAATAAATATGCAAGAGCAAATCTCAAATACAACAGGAAGTCCAGTGGGCTGCTGGCGAAGTTGCCAAATACGTGTCAGGAAGCGACAACATGAACGAATTGGCGATCAAACAATAAGTTCAAAATGAACAAGCATGCCACATTTTTGAGATCAAACAGGCAGACTGTAGCGTTATACACACTGTGTGTAGCTGGTAGACTCAACACAACATTCATGGAGGACCGAGTAAGTCCAAAACCCACACGTGTTTTCCTGTGATGACAGATAACCGCCATAAAAAAGATGTATCGTCAGAGACGTGAAATGGCCAAATGTATGGATTGACAGCTTGGGTAAACGATAAGAAGACTTGATGACCTGTCTTACGTGCGATGGTATCTGGTCGCGTAGATGAACGTGATCGTAGCAGACAACTGGCCAATCAGGCGCCGCCTACGCGAGTTGACCACCATCGCACGTGTCAAGGCGGGGGGCAGCCTCAATTGGTTGGGATTAGAGCAAACAATGCGGTTTGGTTACAGACAAGGAGATTGATCTGAACCGCAACGAGCGAAGAGGACGTATGCCCCAACGAATGCAACCTAACAAGGTGGGGAGCGGACCAAGCCGATGCGTGACGAGTGAACAGAAAGCAGGCCAAATACCCCCCACGCGAAGTGACCATAAGCGACAGGGCGAACACAAAGCGACGAATTCACAGCGGGCTAACATAGCTCTAGAGATAGCAAGAAAGGGTCGGACTAGGCTTAGCGAAGTAACAATGCGTGCCGGACGATGAACACAGACAGACGGTGTGGGACAGTGAAAGACTGCCGGTGAAAATCCGCCGAAATCGAACAGTGACTCAAATTCGATCAAAGAATAAAAGATTTGATCACTCTCTTAAGGCTACACGACGTTACAGCAAGAGGTTGAAGTAGCGGATTCACGCGCTCGATGATCAGATTTGCAACAAATCACGATGTTCTGATCGGAAAATACAAGATGGGTGTGTTAGCCAAATGGCATATTATGCACCAAGATAATCACCATGCTTGATTAAACTGACCACAATATTGTCTTTGCCGAATGTGGCGATTGCATCTTCCTCACTGTAGCCAATGCATCCGTATTCGATTGGAGTGAACACGGTCGTGGGCACATTCTTGTAGTTAGTCTGCAAGCGACAGGAAAAATTGAGGGACGTTTCACGAAGTAGTGGCAAGAAAAGTAAAGAGGAGTAGAAGCCCATGTAAAGAAAATGGTGGAAATATTGTGAAAAAAGAGCAAGCTGAAAACGCAGAACGAAATGCTCTTAAAACAGCAGTTGACAAGGTGGTCACGCATCTTCTGTTACATACAAGTATCGGGCGTTAAGGTGGTAAAATTATTCAAAATGACTTGATGCACTGGTAGCTCGGGTTGATCGTTCCTGAGTTCAACCTTTTCGCCGAGCTTCGTAATTGGGATGCAAAAGTTTCATCATCTAAATGGATATCCACATAGCTTCGTCCGGCGACGTCTAAACAACAAAGCTACGAGCTCTCAGTCTGCGCAGACGACAACAAAGAAAATCGTTCTACCCTATGTAAAGAACATCTCCCAGATGACAGCAAGATTATTCAAACAGCACGGTCTAACAGTGGCCCACAAACCAACTGCCCCATTGAGGAGATCTCTGTCGAACCCCAAAGCTAGACCCGGAACAAACGAAAGACAAAACGTTGTTTACAAGATACAATGTCAAGGTTGTGACAAAAACCATGTGAGTCAGACAAGAAGAGGATTATCAACCAGAATACAAGAGAGCTTGTAAGAACCACTACGCTTCTCACTGGTTTCAGTACATACGGACGAAGAAGGACATCGTTTCGATTGGAAAAACACAGGGGTCCTAGCAAAAGGAGAGACACTAAAAGGAATAGAGTTCCTTGAAGCTTGGTACTCGACGCAGCATTTGATAGATATGCACATAGAGATTGATCCAGTTTACCAAACGTTAAGACGGAGAGAACTAAAAGCTTAAAAAAACCAGTCGTGGTCAGCTGAATTAGCCATCAACAACCCATCAGCAAACGCCGGGGCAAAACCATCCCACGGATCGCCCGTGTCTATCAGGGTTGGGCAGACCGATGAGGGTCACGTGGCACAGAACAAGGTCAATCCAAAGGTCACTTGCTGATGGATTACAAATCGGCGAACAAGTCCGCGGATTACATTTGACCTAGCTGCGCACTGAGGAAGTCATCTCGTTTAGTGATGAAACGTTTGCACCCCATTACGAAGGTTGGTATAATTATGCATGTATGCTTCTAAAGTACACTGAGCTACACTAGGTGACGTTTCTTAGGGTTGGAAGCAGACGAATTCTCCTGCTCCTCTAGGTGAGAGATTCGAGCTAGAGTAGCAATCTTAAGCAAAAATGGGCCATCTTGTGGATCGCAGCATTAACTCCGCTACCTTTTGGTCAGTTTTGTGGATCAGAGACAAGAACAGCTCTCCAGCTTAGGGTTGAGCGCCGAGCAGTGGATCAAACCCAAGCACAACCCCCACATCACAAGACAGAAATCATCATCATCATCATTATACACATCAGCTAGAGGTGGGGAAAACACCTCCGCTATTGTGTCGCAATACAAGACAGAAATATAGAGGCCAGCACAGATGCGTGAAATCGACCCACGAAATCGGACCAAGAAGTTAGAAGAGTAGGGAGCCAGTACTGTTAAGAGTTGCTACAACAGGTGGTACATTGCGTTACTACAATAGAAGGATTAACAAGTGCTAAAACAGTTGCAAGTTACCGAGCTAACTTAGCCAATCAGCTTTCCTTTAGAATAGAAAACAAGTGTTATATTTGTAAAGACAAAATCTAACTGTGCGTTCATCAGTCTGGTTTCATAATATTTGCTAGCCCGAGCGATTGGATGAATACCGTGTCACTTTTGCGTTGAAGTCACCAACGACGATGCAGAGAGAGAGCACTTAATTTTAGGTAATAACGCTGGCGGAAAACAATTGATAAAAATTTTCAACTCATAGGGTGATGTGCCAGGAACCATGTTTATATATTTGTAATGGCTACAGAAAGAAAGCCGCACAAAAACTTCGGTTTACATTCACGTAAATGGCAGCTGAACTTCGATGTTGACTACGTAGACAACAAGGCTGCCGATATGCACCAGAGTTCGTCGATGTAACTGATGACGTCTCCTCCACGATCATGCGGCTTTACAGGTCTATCTTCGTCCTTAACACCAGGATAGAGCCAACTTCCTGAAGCATCACAACACGTGTACCTGCGAATTCCTTACACATCGTAACGGCAGTAAGGTCAGCAATTTTACTAAGGAGAGAGCGCGCATTGTTGGAGATTTTTTGGCAATTTACAGAACAGTGTCTGAGGCCAATTTGTCAATCAGCGCGATGTTTTCTCATTCCTACCAAAATGTTTCTTGAAAATTCATTTGATGGTGCTCGTGGCCTTGTTACCGCATTCGGCATAAGATATGCTTCGCACGGCGTTTCGAGACGATTTCACAAATTCAGCAGAGTAGGATTTCAGTGAGAACAGAATGGTTGATAAAAATTCCGAGAACAGCACAGTAAAAATGGATATATCCGCAGTAGATGTCGCAACAAACAGTGCTCCAAAGAGAAAGATCAGCAAGGCAGACTTGAAGAGTGATCGAACATCGTTCAAGTTGGCTAAGATTGTCGATGCCACGAAACGGCGGAGTGGACCATATAATGCAGTGGAACTCCATGTCATCCAACGCAAAGGACCGCGTGATGACGAGTTGTCATTTGGGCCCATCGAACGCTTGCTGTGCAATGAGAATCTGAAATAAGTGACACTTAGGAAGGCATTAGTAATCGTTCAGCGCTGTGCGCACAGACACAATTGAAACGATCAGTTAGCTAGTCACGGCCTGGAATTGCATATCCATCGCGAATGTTCGTTCCATGTATGCATATCCGTTTATTACTTGTAAGTAGAGGATTTTCGACAAGAAAGAGCGACAACTACTTTATATTCCGCGTGAACAAATGACATTTGACGAATTCCGTGAACGTTTGATCAAATTTTGCCGTATAACGTGAGGTCATCTGTTAGGTGGCAGTATCTCACGAAAAAATCGTACTTGATTATTAATAAACAATGATTTATCACGGGTGAAAAAGCTGGCGCTTAGAAAGTCCCGTAGGATGCTTAAGAGGAAAATAACAAAACCAAATTGGTATATCGTCCGTACAAACGCTGACCGATTTTAATGCCCTGATGCATATAACGAAAGTGTGAAATGGGAACTGAATGTTAAAATATAAACCTGTGGGCGAAATTGAAAACACGCACTCAGGTACCGCTTCTTAGTATCTACGTGATAGCAAAACCAGTATGAGGGTATCCTAGATATTACGCTGTAGCACAGCTTACGTACTGAAGTGCTGGGAGCTGAAGGGCAACATCCAATCATTTTGTGGAATGATCCAAAGTGAGGTATGAGACAATTGGGTTTGGGAGTTCCTAGATTTGTCAAACGCGTAGAGAAAGGTAATTCCTTCGGTATTCTAGTAGGCTGTATTGTTCACTCAGTTCAAGGTGATTACCCCTGAATTTAGTCTTATGGCTAAGCTTCAGTACATGGAGGCATCCGTGGTTGGGGACACTCAATATTTTGTACACTAACACGAAATTACCGCATAGCCGCCGGTAGTATAAGCTGAAAAGCCAGTAAATCCGGACGTTGGTAGCAGGATGTGATGCGTATACACTTGACGTTCTTCATTGTCATGCGCTGTGGTGTCTGCAAGACAATGAGGTCGCGCTTCAAGCAACTTTCTCAAATTTGGATAGGATTTTCGACACGAAGGCGCATGTAGGAGTTTGTATCATTGGGAAGATTGATGGGTCGAAGCTGTCGGACGTCCGCGCAACAGGCCGACGTGCGGATTGCCTCTTTTCGCTGCTGCCTCTGTTTTGAACACTTGTGGTCATTGTGTATGAGCGCACAGAGATCGCGTTCCTATGGACTAGTCTGCCAGCTGTGTGGCCAAGACTGAAAACGTAAGCATGCCTATGGAGTGTTTGAACAACCAGACATCTTTCTACATAGAATGGTAGGGTATTCTGAGCTGACGAGTTCGAAATCGCGTCAAGATCGCGTTGGAACCCTTCGTATTCGTCCAGTCCCGATTGCTAGCCATATCTCGATCTAATCTGCGAAGAATAGGAAATCGGAGAAAAGTACCCACACTAGCACGCTTATGAAAATCAAGAATAGGCGAGGCCTCAGCACTAAGCCACGTGATACGCCGCACTCGATGTGAAATGCGTTGGACAGGAATTCCCGGGCCCTCAGCTCAAAAAGTCCTTCAAGTTAGATATGGATGGGATTGGGTCGCCAATGCTAGAGTTCTGAAGGAAGAGAATTCAATGATATGAGCGTAAAGACGCGCTTGAGAAGTCTAGGTGGACGATATTTATCCCCGGCTCCATCATCAACTACACCGGTCCGAATATTACGCGCAATTAACAGACTATTAGCAGATGAGCGATTTTGGCAGAATCCGTGTTGAGCTGGGCAAATATGCGGTGGTTTTCCACAGCTAGTGTATCAATGCATCAGGGATGGCTAACTGCATAATTTTAGAAAAAAACACACAGGAAGTAGTAGCGTCATCAGTGCAACTACCTCCCTCATGAATAGGAGTGATAATAAACCATCGTATTCATACTCGTGGAATTTTGTTCTTCATCAGAAAATGACTAGTGGTTCTGCTCGATCAGAGTTTTCGGTTTAATGTCATCAACTCGATGAGAAATGTAGGTACGTAGGGATGACCACTTCTTCAACTCAGCTTCCACAGTGGTGATATCGTAAGAAACTGACAGTGAGATCAGAGAAAAGATGAGAAGATTCGAGTTCGTTACTCTCCGGAATGTATGGGAGTGATGAAGTTACAAAACATCGACCGCTTCATTAGCTGATCATGTGTGTCCGTCAATCGTAACGAGTGATGAGGCCTTGGCGCTGAAGCTTATCAAGATTTTTAATGTGCCTGTATGAAGCTGCGGTTCGTGCTGAATCGCTTCATTAATTCCTGTTGGTGAGTCACCTGGCCTTCGCGGGTCAATTCCACACGAAAGTTAAACCGTACCAGGTATACTGTCGAAATTTTGGCATTAAAAGAGCCTTAGTGAATGCGCAATGCCACATTAGCTAAGAATACACATTTTCGTATGATGATCCTTAAAGTGGGTTTACTGCTGCTTTGAAGATGAAAGGATTTCTGCTATGATGGGTGCGCTACCAGTGTGCTAAACCTCATCGGAAATTGTTCCAAAATATTTTCTGGGGCTTGGACAACCCGTTAAAGTGCGTAACAGTATATACATTATCACCTTCTTCGGGATACTCCGCAGAGAATCAATTGAATAGCAGTCACGTGGTCACCGCGACCCAGAAGAGCGCTCGTAACTATACCGTGGCGAGCACAAGATCACGTGTCGACGGCCTGTCTGCCGTTCGATCGTACAGAAGGTACCGGGAAATCAGCTGTTGCAAACTGGCTTTAAGCTGTGCGCGCTGAGGCACGAGACTTTCCAGGTCCTACACATTAAAGGCTTCCGCGATGGGAGTGTGGCTGCATGAGTTGTTCAGTGCGACCTTCAAAACGCGGTTCCATTTGTAGTCTATTTCCGACGTAGAATCTGGTGGTCGATAAATTACGGCCAGTAGACATGTGTCCTTGTTCCGCAGCCGTAGCCGGCACCAAAGCGAATCAAGGACGCGGATTTCCGGACGCTCAATAAGTTCACATAAAAGTTAGTTTTGTGAGGAAGAATTAACTCACTACCTCTTTCAGTTCTATCGTTCCGAAGCAGCGATATAATAAATGGGTCTCAAGGGTTAACTAGGTCCCTGTAACCATGATGAGACACCGAGGTTGTGAGGACTGGCGCTATTCAAGTTCAGTCAACTTACTAAGAAGGCCTTAGGCAGTAGTGTACAACAGTATAGTGTTTTTGTGGTTAGTAGTGTGTGTGTGTGTCAAGTTCAGATATGGTTTTGGGCCGACCGCTTGGTAGTTGTCCGCTTATCAGTTTATCGGTCAGCCTACATGGCAGTACCAAGCGTTCAAATCGAGATGTCCTTTCGCGCTTCGCCCTGTCCTGTCCGGAGCCGCGAGCGCTTCTGTGTCTGTCTCTCCGCAGGACTGTGAAGACAAAAATGTTGCAATTCCAGCGAATCGCTGAGCACTCGTGTTCATGTGCCTGCTGCCTTACACCGATTTTCGGTTGGCAACCTGGCGCGTAACTTCAAACAGTTATCCAACATGATATGTAAAATCTCTTCCGAGTGTCGTATCAAATTAATTGACCTTGGACCGCAGCCATTGTAGTTAGTTGATGAAGGAATTCTCGTCAATGACTAGGCAATAACATTGTAAAGAACCTCTCACGAGTGTAGCATCACTGCTCTTGGTCATGCGTCTGCGCTTCCGGAAACTTGGGAACACCGTGAACAAATTTAGTCTGGTGGCTGTCGTCATCAGGAAGATCGGCATAGTGGCCTGCTTCCTTTGAGTGCGCTCATTAAAAAAGATCGGGTAGTATGCGCGCCCCACTCGATGGCTATCAAAGATAAACTGCTGATAGGAGGACGGACGTTGTCTTATCTGCTAAGTTTAGTGTTACTCAAAGGAGTCCAGGTTCAACGTGTTGCACGGAATTTGAGTGACGCGTTACGTGTGGTAGCTTCAGCCTGAATGCCGCTCACATTGAAGATGCAATCCCCTGGTATACGGTCGTAAAACAGATAACCTACATTGGGTTGGAGTTGGATTCAGGAACGTCAGTGCACAGGAGAGTGAACGCACAGTCGTTCCGTCTAATGAAAGCCAGTTGAAGCGTTGCTGCTAGTGCCACAGGCTGTTGAACAAGCGGCAATGGAAATGACTGTAAAATATGCCGCACCGCATGTGTTCGGTTAGGAAGATGAACCTACGAGTATCTCTTCCAGGCCTTTTGTCTCGACTTCTTATGTGCTAGAGTGCATCTGCCTTTGAGCTACTGGTATCGTGACTAAATCCTTACGTGCAGCCTCCGAGAGTGGGGTGAAAGCAGTCCCCCCGAGTGTGACTTCGCTTGGGGGGTTAGGATGTATCAGAGTGACAGGTAGCACAACTGACATTATACTATGGCCTAGAGACGGAACTCGGAAGCGGTTACTAAAGCACAGGACAGGTTTTCGATTCCAAAAGCGAAGCCATGAATATCGCCACCCGTTTAACTGTTTCAGTTTTTCACGGTTTTTCATAAGCACGAAACACAGTTAGAATGGCTCTATGTACCAGACAAAATCAGAGCGCACCAGGCACATTGTTATGTCTGAGTCATACTAGCGCATTTAGGGTGGAATGCTTGGCATTATTAGAGCAGCGTAGGACTGGTCGGAGCAATCGTGCACAGTTTGGCTCACCACATATATTACTAGGCGAAAGCAAATGATTTTTCGCACGCTGCAAGAATGTGAAAATTTTTCCTTAAGCTTCTCTACTCCTTCACCAAGTAGTTCAAAGTGACGAAAGTGCTGCCCATAATTTCTTTTCCAGTTCCTTTCATGTTATTCCCTCCAAGGTGAAGATTCCGTCGAGAATGTGTTCGAGTCAAAACCAAGAGAGAGGAGGATGCAAAGTTGTTCAGATGCTCATCAACTCCGCGATTTAATCTCTGGTCGAATGTAAAGAGTTACACTGTGAGGAAACAAATGTTTTTCCGACTGTTTGTAAACCAACAATGATGCCACAGTAATTCTGAGTGTACTAGCTCTAAAATTAGTACAACCATAAGACATTGTCGTTTCAACGAGGGGTATACAAAAGTATCGCTATCATTATCCTAACCAGTTGTCTGCGATGGTGGCTTTGGATAGATCCAAGCAATCATCTGCAGTATCCTAATGTCGCAGGTTTATGAGTATGCGGCAAAATGGGGATGCATAACAAAAGACGGCAAACAGACGCAATCAACAAAGGTGAGCGCAAAAGTACATCTGAAAAGAACGGGAGAAAAGGTGTTTAATTACCAGCTCCGTGAATCCGGCGAAAAGGCGCCTGGCCAAATAACGACCAGCTTGAATAGCTACTGGGGTAAGCTGAGGTTTGCCCGAATTGATGTCACCGACGGCATAGATGTTGGGCACACTGGTCTGTTCGTCATCCGCGCAGATAACTCGATTGGCTCTTTAGGGTGGATGCCAATGAGAAAAAGAATGCACGATTGGATGGTTAATCGAAGTCAAAAATTCGGTATTGAAGTGTAATACCTATTAACACAACGAGCGAAAAGTTGCTGCGTGTGGCCTCCAGTGCATACAGGGTCTAGTGATATATTCCATAAAAGTTAACGGCGCCCAAGACTGCAAGTGTATGCCGAGAAGGTAGCAGAGAGGCCAAAAGCAGATGAGAAACGCGACATGACAATGGATCATCATGAGACTAGAAATGGTGAAACAATCACCTTTAACCCGATTCACAGAATCCTTAATTCCAACCTTCCAGCCGCCAACAGATTTCCATGCAAATTGACCTTGTCGGACTGAACGCGCTCATCCTATCAGTGATTAGTTGATCCAATGACAACCGGTTCTTATTTTATTCCCAAGCATTACTTATCTAAACGTCTTCTTAATTCCCTTTGTGCGTATCTTGCTGTACTCAATTCATCGCACATCGGTGCAGAGGATGGGATATTGGGTGTGCCAGTAACCAGAGGCAATGTACGATAAAAAGGAAAAAGAATGAAACAGAGGAAGTGTGTCTGTAACTAGAACAAGAATGCCTCATTCCAAATGAAGATGCTTTGAAACAAATGGATTTCCGGCAAAAATCTACATGAAAACAGAAGCCGGCATGGAAAATCATTCTAAAATATGAATGGCTCCCGGGTGAATATTTCCTGATCGCACACATGGGAGTGTGCACTAAGTCGCCTAAATAACGTTCACAGATCAGGCCACATCTTCCATCATGCTGCTATAATACCGTTTGGAAAGTTCGTTTGCTGTGTATGAATGACGGAGTTCAGAGACCGTAGCAGAAATTAGTGCCTCATGCTGAGATTGGTGTTGCATACATCACGCTCCTTCACCACCGCTGGGCTACACTGATTTACACTTAATCTAGATCATCTTAACCTGGATAAAATGTATTGCTTTTCATTTGATTTGCTCAGTTTTGTTATTCCGCTGCATATGCCGTGCAAATTTTGCGTAATTATTTTCCTTGGAATTGTGTGTTGGTTGTTTGATGTCCTTGGTGTGGGTACGCTTGATGTGAATGTTGGTAAGATGCCGACCCGTCGAACACCCTTTATCTCGATTACTGGTTCCAGGAGACTATAAATCGTTGCTGCGGAGTGCTGGATGCACGTCATCGTGAAGTTGCTAGGTTCAACGGGTGGCTCCATGCACACAGTGTGTAGCGGACTACGGTCCAGCCACTGTATTGTGTACGTCTGGTACGCATGATTCCCTATTTAGACATGTGTGCTCCAGCTGCTTGTTAAAGGAGTGCGTGCCAGCTCCACTGAGGAAACGTGGCTCCCATCCGCATACCTCCCGGTCTTGTTCCTTCGGCTTTACACTGGATATGGTGTGTATGTGGATGGAGCTGTGGGTGATGCAGAGCTAACCACACACAGCCCGTCTGTACGCGCAGGCGTCTAGTCGCTTTCCTATGGAGGACGCCTAGACCAGCAATTCCGGAACCGGATGCTGCCAATCACGGGTGACTGAGTGCATAAACCAGCATCGCGTTGATCCGCGTCCCGGAAGCAACAATTGAACTTTTGGTAAAAATCCTGAATACATACACAAATATTCTCATGTGGGAGCATGAAATATCTGCACATTTTGATCCGAGCCTTCTGAGATTAGTTTGTCGCAATGTCAAGAAACACAATATTCAGTTTCCGAAAAAGGAGTTAACGTGCCGTTCGTAAATCAAGATTGCACTATATTACAGGTTTTGTTCTCAGCTGGACACTAAAAGTGGATTAACCAGAGCCCAAATAGTGTTTTACATCTTACTGCTTGCAAAATTAGCCTGTTAGTCTTGAGAAATGGAAATTGCTACAACGACCATCAGTTCAACATCGCCGGGATCCTAAAATGGTCTCTGCACTTTCTGTTTACATAACGTAATCTATGTCAGGTGTTCCAAACAACATGTTATTAATAATCTGAACTCGTCGGGTAGATGATGTAACCGGAATTAGCGAGTCACCACAAGCTCTGTGAGAAACACCTAACGGACTGGCTAAGGAACCACATTTGGGATTTGGCATGCATGTGAAGTATTTATACTGAACGGTAACATGGAATTTCAAATTCGACCAAGATTTTTAGGATTATGACCGAAAGCTATAAACAAAATCCTAGCCATTAAAAGCGCTTATCGCAGATGTATGATTTAAAAATAACGGCCACTACCAGCAATCGCAGTGTTGCGATCGCCTATTAGATCTGAAGAGTACAAATAAGGAAAACTCATTTTGAAGTGTTACGAGCAGTCAACGTCAAATAAGGTGCCGTTAAAGGAAAGACAGAAAAGTGAACTTCGTACAGAACGAATAATACGTTCAGATTCGGTGCGATTGGCAGTTGCGACTAGTGCACAGAGGAGCGCAGAGTCTAGTTGCCTTGATTCACGTCACTAACACAATAATAATATAAATTGTAGGTGGTAGCAGTAGGATACGTCCAATACAACTACCTTGGTCAGCAGACATCGCCACCTAACCGTTTGCCTGCTATCTGGGCAAATTACTTTGTACTGTCGAGATTGTTTATGCTGTTTCCCTTGTTCGCGTTATGTACTGTTATCATGACATCATGCGCTGCTGTGAAACACTCTAATAGTTTAATTGCTTCATTGTTATTTCCATTTTATTATTTCATTCTGTTCTTTTGTTTTCCTTTGTTGATCACGACAAGACGGATCTCTTGAGGTTATAGTTTCATACTTAAGATCAAGAGGTTCTCAACAAGCAGAGCGGATAGCCAAAGACCCATCGGTGAATATTAAAAATGTGTGCTATGTTTATAAAAAAGCAGGGATAACGGTACACTCTAAACTGTTGATTATAAACTTTGTGGCATATACCGCCAACTCAGGTGAACTCGACTATCATTTCCACCGAAAACAAGGCTTGGCAAATGGGAGAATAGGTTTTAGTGACCAGCTTGTGAAAAGTCAGAACGAACAGTAAAATGCAAGATGGCTCACCTTCACGCTACGCTAGCACACGACCAGATGGGTGTGGAAGTGCGCGGGAACCTGTCGAGCGTTTATCCCGCATGGAAATGGGTCTCAATGAGACGGTTGAACGGATGACAGCATTACTGTACTTTCCAGTTTGTCATAAATCTGTTTACTACTGTTCCCCGTTAGCTCATTTCTTACCGATATTCCCCAGTAAGTTGATCCTTAGACCGTATTCACGATATTATTCGATATTCCTTTCCTTTTTGTCATAGTGACAAAAGATAGTTTGTTGTCGGCACACTTTCCCAGTCACCGTGTCTTCCATGTTTTACACAAGACTGTGATTCCCTGATCAGTGTCGAGAATAAACCACTTTTGAGGTTATTTATATTTTATCACTATCGATTTGATTATCTAAACAACTTCGAAAGCTAACTAATCCAATGAGAAGACGGGTGTTGCACGATGATATCATTTCGCGCTTTCTGATCACATGCAAACGAGCGACATTTAACGATCACGAAAGGGGAAAATCAATGATTTGAATGGTGTCAGAATGGGAATGGAAGAAACATAAGGGTGCAAACTCCAACAGAATCACAACGTTTGAGACAAGTGTCACTATCCACAAGGAAGCTTGAGGATGACAGTCAAATGTTTTCGCACACATAGATCCGGACGGCTGTGATTAATTGCCACAGCCTCCGCGGGCTTGAGTATCTTGGCGTCTTCATACGGTAGATAACTGTAAACGCCAAATTAGAATCAATTTGGTGCCCCGTTCCAAGTAGATCACTGGCTATCAAACATGCCGGTAATTTGGATCTTGACTGTTATCCGTGCGAGTGTTTCGTCACAATTGCAGCAACCCATTTCGGGATGTGCTCACCAATCTGCTTGCGCAGACACCGGTCTGTTCTGCTGATGCAACCGCTTCCACAGTTACAGAAAAGTCGTAAATGCAGTGTTATGTCAGAGATTGACAGCGTAACCTTAACCAGAGGCGTTGGTAACTTACTGGTTGTCCAAATTGGGCAATTTTGCAGCACTGAACGCACGTCGAATTGCTGTGGCAACACGCCGCTCGAGTTGCGTAGCCACATCTTCCCCTTTGAATGGTAATTGGAGATAGACGGGCATTTTTGACACTGCTTTTGTTAGTTCCCTTCCGTCGTGCGAACGTGAAACTTAAGAAACGCTGTCAAGTAGCCATTTGCCTCTAGTGTCTGTGTGGCGAACTGCAATTCAGCTTCGACACATTCAGGACTGCATATTTTGCGAGCTCGTTGGAACAGCGTTTGGACAAGGCAACGTTTGTACCGGACCGGTGTGAAGCTGCTGAAATTTTCGTAAAATCCCGTCCAAGTGGCTTTTCGGTAGACGGAACATCGTATGGAGCTGTCGTTAGTTCTAGTCAAAAGTACATCCAAAAAGGCAGACAGTTGTTGTTCTCTAACTTATATGTAAAATGAGTATTCGCGTGTGCGTTGTTCATCACCTCGAGAAGGCGCTGGGCAGCATTAATGTTGGGGGCGATCACTAGCGTATCGTAAAGGTATCGCTTGTAAAGACACATCTGGTCGAGGTGAGTCACAGCGTGCTTCAACTATAAACATGAAAATGTCTGCTAGCGTGGGGCCGAGTGGACTTTCCACTGCAACGCCGTCCACTTGTCGGCAGGACTCACCTACGAATAAAAAATGAATAACAGATTAAGTTGGTTACATATTCGACAGGTGCCGGCAACGCCACTTTTCTATGCGTCCCGAAATCGCATAGATATTCCACCGTCTCTTTTAATGGGACATTAGTAAAAAGTGATTGAACATTCAGTGAACACATTACTTTGTCTGCTATGTTCATACCCTGTATATGTTCGGTCAGTTCCAAGATGTCTTTGACGGTGTGTCTCACGATCATTTGTCTGAGTGGTGCCAGTATCCTGGTAAACCACCTGGCCACTGTGATAGGAAGAATTATTCATGTACAATATCGTAATAAGAGGTATGCCAGCCTTGTGGATTTGCGGTAAGCCATCCATTTGTGGGATGTAAGTGCCCGTTGGTTCAAGTGTGTTGTACATTGTTTCTGCACTCATTCCGTGGTGCAGCAATAGTTTCAGCCTGCTGGCCACAGACTTTTCGATCCGGGTTACGTCGGTGTCACTATGGTGATTTTGAAGCCTGCACTTATCACTATCTAATTCATCTTGTTTATGTAATCTGACTTATCCACGATGACGACTCCGGTACCCTTGTCCGGCTTCAGAACTATTATATTCTTGGATTTCAGATATAACATGGTTCTTTGATGTGGTACTTGTCTAGAGTGCAAGTTTGGCGAAATCAATTGCCACGTCGACAAGCTCAGCAGTAGTTTTCCTGTGTCGTTGGGTTAAGTTTCGATAGTTGCTCAATCAGGTCTTCGAATTGCAACTCCACATGGATTCGATCAACTTTCCTTGGAGGGACATTGTAGTTCAGACCCAGTGAGAGAGCTGCCATTTGATTTCTGTTCAAGGGTTTGAAGGAGAAGGTATGTACATGCTTCTGTAAGTCACCATTAAAAAGGATTCCTCATCGGCGTTCTCAAGAGATCTTCGTTATGCCTTCAAAAGTTTCCTTTTCGTTCTGTTGACGACATTCCTACCGAATTTGAGGAACTTGATCCGACACACTAACGAGAGTTGGTTGGTGATCGTGACACCCCAGTCATGTATTTCCATCACCATTTCCATTACCTCCTCCACACAGGAGTTTGTAAGTTGCTTCAAGTTGGACATGGTAGGTCTCAATCTATTCCGACGTAAACACTTGCAGAACTGACGGGCATAATGTGCGTAACGTTTGCAATCAGATAGGAAGCGGATACGCAATATATATATATATATATATATATATATATATATATGTATGTATATATATGGTTAGCGGCATCCGGTTTCGGATTTGCCTGTCACTATGGTCAGTCACAGGACGCTTGCGCCTACAGAGGGACCATGGATGGTTTCCGCTGCACCACCCACAGTTCCATTCACATACCCCATATTCAGTGCAAACTTGAAGGAATAAAACCGGGAGGCATGCGGATGGGAGCCACGTTTCATCAACAGAGCCGACCCACACTCCTTCAAAGGCAAACACAAGCACGCTGTATGTGGGGAATCAAGCCCACACAAGGCGGTGGGTGGACCGTAGTCCGCTCCACACTGACTGCATGGAACCACTCTTCAAGCCTAACACGACCACAAGGACCGTGCACCCCGTGCCCTCCAGCAACGACCAACTGTCTCCTGGAGCCAGATGGACGAGGTAGTTGGTAATAGACAGGTAGGCGCCTCGTCAACATGCACATCGAGCGCAGCCACATCTGGGATGTCAAACAACGGCTAATCACTCAAAACGCAGATATTGAATAAAGTAAACGCATATAACGACATAAACACACGTTTAATGAGCATATAGAAGAAATTGGTTATAAGTAAATCAGTGACAAGTACAAAATGTCCGAGCTATTTAAAAAAATACCAAACGATACAATTACGCCAGTTTACCACAATTTGCATGAGCGACGTGTGCAAGTTGAGAGAAGATTATCAAGTACGCAGAACAAACCAAACAAAATGTAACGAATTTTATCCACATTAATAAGACCTAGATTAAGTGTAAGTTGGTTTAGCCTAACTGCGGTGAAGAAGCATTATGAATGCGACATCAGCCTCAGCATGGCGCACTGATATATATATACATATATATATCTATACATATGTATATATATGTATCTATATATTTATATACAAAGCCACTGAATTCGTGACCGGCCCATATGCAACATCATGTCAAATCACTGGTTTGGCCATTGCAGAAGGTTAAATCAACTTACACTTAAACTAGGTCTTTGTAAGGTGGATAAAATTCATTCCACTTTATTTGGTCTCTTCTACTTACCTGATAATCTTCTCTCAACTTGCACACGTAGCTCATGCTAATTGTGGTGAACTTGCGTAAATTTTTCACGTCGTAATTTTTCTTTAACTTTCGAACATTTTGTTCTTATCGGGGATTCGCTTATAACCAATTTACTTCATATGCTCATTTAGCGAGTATTTATGTCGTCATGTACGTTTAATTTATCCGATACCTTTTATTTGATATCGGTATTTCGAATGATTGGCTGTTGTTTGACATCCAAAATGAGACTGCGCTTGATGTGCATGTTGACGAGGCGCCTACTTATCTATTACCCACTACCTCGTCTATACTGGCTCCAGGAGACGGTCGTTGCTGCAGGGGCCGAGATGCACGGTCCTTGTGGTCGTGCTAGGCTCGAAGAGTGGTTCCATGCACTCAGTGTGGAGCGGACTACGGTTCAGCCACCGCCTTGTATGCGTTTGATTCCCCAGATACAGCGTGATTGTGTTTGCCTGTGTAGGAGTGTGGGCCGACTCCGTTGATGAAACGTGGCTCCCATCCGCATGCCTCCCGATCCTATTCCTTCGGGTTTACACTAGATATGGGGTGTGTGGTTGGAGCTGTGGGTGATGGAGCGCAAGCCATCCATGGTCTCTCTGTAGGCGCTAGTGTTGATGCACGAAGCAGGATGGAAAGTAAGCAATCAAATCATGAATGCGAAGATCAGAGTCTAAACGCAAAGTTGAGACGGCTCGCTGCCGCGAACAGACGAGGAATAGGGTAAGAGCTTGGAGTGACAATATCAGGCAACGGACAATGCGGATGGATTTAAAAGCTAGTGAACATGAGGAAGGAAAATAAATCTAATGGCGTGAAATGAAGTAAACGAAGCATATTCGGTGAAAGAGTGCAAGAGCAGATCGTATGTGTAGTGGTCTTGCCTGTAGAGGGCTATTAGGTCGAGTACCCAGAAATGTGTAGCAAGCTGGGCACCGGTATATGTGAAGCAAAACTTATTACTCATAGGTGCGTGAAGTCGGTGTATCGACAATCAATGTTTCTTGATGCATGTACATCTGACTGCATATGAAAAAAGCTGCAACATCAAAGCCGAACATTGGGAAATTAGCTCCGAAAGAGAAGGACAGTTGTTAGCAGTTGGGAAAACTATTCCTATCTGTTGTGGCGCTATTGCAATGAGAGTGGGCAAACGGCGTACAAAGTTATATCAGAGGAAAGGACCATACGGCTAGTAAGATACAAACCTAACGGAACTGATCATCGTCTACGTGGCCCCGCTGTGCTGCAGTGACATTCTCCTTTTGTTTAAATGAACCAAAGCAAAGGATTTATTGACCCACAAATGTGGTTTTTAATGGAAGCGGCCAAATAATATATGCTACAGTGATTTGATAGCACAGGATGCCAACAGTTTCGGTGACTTGCAATTGTCGAACAAAGATACAGCTTTCTTGAAAATCCAACCTCGCAGTAGTTCTCGGGCAAGGAAGGTAGATTTGTGAAGCCAATTTACAACCAACGAGTGAGAAAGCAAGTAGTGTGATAAAAATATCGGGGACTTGTGCGACGCATTCAAAAATAACAGCACGATTGCGTAGGGTACAAAAATAGATCCAGCGTTTTTGTGCAGTGGAACAAGCCGGGCACCGTTCACGATATGGTTCGATAAAATAAAGTGAGTGGAAAAACAAAGCAGCAAGGCATTGTTTAAAAATGAGCAAGGGGTGCAGACGGAAGACCATATCCGGTGTGTCCAACAATAAGCCGTACTTGGGATGGATTCAGCCGGCTCTCAAAATCGTCTCTAACATCTAGTTCGTTTGTTACAATTGGCTACTCTCATCACGGTGACCTAGTAAGCCTAGAGGACTCGAAGGTACCAGGCAAAAATCACCAAATGCCATTCATCGGGTCTTGCATGTCGCTCCCAACGTACATCAAGGTGACCTAGAACACCCAGGACACACATGTCATTGTGTACAGGAACCATCACATGTAGCTTCCCTTTACATTCAACACGCCCAAAAATCTGATGTAAGAGAACAGCAGGAACAAGACTACGAGGAATAAGAGGCCACACGATGTTCTGACAGAACTAGCTCAAATCGCGTCGACACGCATGGAGTAGTACCGAGTATGCTGTAAATTTCCGATCAGCGGATCATTGTTCGCGCAAAGCTGGGTGAAACGGACAGACCAGAAATGTACGAGACGGCAGTTGCATGATATAAGGATTCTTCGAACCTATCTCAACCACGAAGAGTGTGCCTTGTACTTCGCCAGCCTTGATTAGCGGTCTCGAGGTTGGAGCAATCATGATGTCGGAGTAGGGAGATTGGATGTATTGCTGCTAGTATCAGGCTCAATATCTCCGAATAGGCTTGAAACCGCCTAGGATTTCATGACTTTAGGTTTTGAATACAAATTAGTTTTTGTAGATTTTTACTGTGCCAACATTCCGCTTTTGACGCAAGAGCTGATCTGAAGAAGCTCTTGCGTCAAGAGCAAAACGTTGCCAGAATAGCAAGTTACATAACCGAGTTGTATTCAAAACTTTCTGAAATCATCGTACCAGAATAAAAATGAAAACCTTGTCCGCGCATGGTTTTCAAACCCATAAACAACTGCGGCGATGAGATATGCAGTATCAAACATACCGTGGGCCTGTTAGAAGAAAAAAGCATCCGTAGTATACCGGTGCGCAGAGCGGACGCTTCGGTGCCGTGCAACCACCATCACCAGCCACACGTAGGCTAAGGAAACGGCGAGCGCCGCCTGGTCCCCTAAGCATGCTTGGAGCAGCGACCTCAAGATTACAAAGCAGGCTGCTTGTGATTCTTAAAGGTCACGGTCTGGCGAAATGGATCAACAAGTGTAAACTCACTTGTCCAGTTTTACGCCCAAATTTTCCATCATATCCTTGTCAATACACGGATCACGACCGATTGCGAAGATGATCTGTGAATAGTAACAGGAATAATCACAAAAGTCACAGAAGCGAAACACCGCAAGGTTGTGAGCATCATGTGGAGTGCAGAGGGCCGGGAGCGCTGTACTAACATGTAACGCAAACAGATGAGGCCATACCGAGGCCACCTAAGACCGCAGCAGTATACGGAAAAATAAAGCCAGCTACGGCGCGGACAATAACATGCGTTGGCCACCGAGTGGAAAAAAAGCTGAATGACTCTGTACTGCGGGGATGACAGCGGTTATGATGCAAAGAATTCAAAACACAACAACCATACCCGGCGTCGCATACCTGAGCGCTCTCAAGTCGATGCGGAAGATGAAGAAGGAGAGCGAATTGTCTTCACTCGCGCTATTTACACTAGCTAGATCCTATCCGCACGAGGTCATACGTAAAGAAAATGCAAACCGATTATGCCTAGAGTATTTTCATCCCTTTTATCCAACATCTCAATCTTAAATGGGTCAAAATCACAGTGATTATGCTTTTAAATCAGTTGTTACAACGGTTGCAGTTGTGCTTTTCGCAGTTCCTCTTCCGGTGACATACTGTGCACACAACATTTATGCTCTGTTCTTCGGCCGTAAAGCGTCAAAACTTGAATCGGTCAAACGCCAGATTTCCCACAATGTATACCAGAATCAATCGAAATGTGGATTTCGGTGTTGCTCATCTCAACACTGACACCCCATGATCGGTTTGTCCTCGTTTGGAGTTATTTGGCAGATATAGCCTGAGCTGCGAGCAGAACTCAGGGCCTAATGGATAACAGCTGATGCCCCGATATCCAGGCCACTGAGAGCAAGGTTTGGCACAACAGAGAGAAACTCAAACTTACGGAGGAGCAACATGGAAACTCCACCGTTTCGGATACGGTCCTGGTGATCGAAATGACAGGTATACTTCAAAGGAGTTCGAGGTCTCAAAAGAGAGCACGTATCGCTATCCCCCCACATGGTGGATGTATTTATTATTATTTACGTGCAGATCCGTTCCCGCCTCACTCGGATTGTGACTGGTTAATCTTACAAACCCATTAGAGAACCTATTAATACTCAAGTATGTTTCATTGATGGACGCTTGAGTTATCATGATAATAGATCCCGTGCAGTGGTCTTTTTCTTTGCCTCGTTGGGGTTGGGGCTATTGATTGGAAGCCGAATCTGTGTACCGTCTGTGAGTTGTTTTCTTTACGTGACTTTTCCGTTCCTGAGTATGTTCATGCAGAGTTGGGGTAGTGATCGCCGGATCCTAACAATCCCCAAGCATCTGTCGCCCTGCAATTAGGAGAACTCAGACAAGCTGCGAATATCTGGAACGGACAGGCAGAGCCGCGTCGCATAACATCAACCCTGATCTCGGATGCAAGTATGATTCGACTGCAAAATAGTGGTGAAAATGCAGTGGAGGTTTTCGAAAGTGGAAGATCTCATATTATCCTTAAAATACTAGTTTACATTATTCCGGCAAATTGTGATTCCAGAAGAGTAGTAGGGGGAGTTGAATGATATAGGTAGAAATTCGTCACATCTAGACTCACTCAGACAGCCGCCACACGCTCGGAAAAGCACTGTACGCGCGTTTCATCCAAGGGTCCGATGGAATGTGCACTGCTGATGATTCCCGAAAGGATGAAACGCACGTACAGTGCTTTTCTGGACGTGTGGCGGCTGTCTGAGTGAGCCTAGATGTGACGAATTTCTACCTATATCATTCAACTCCCCCTACTACTCTTCTGTAATCAGTACGCAGACCAAACTGCTTATAATGCCATAAGTTAATTGGCGGCTTAAGTTTGGTAAGCTCATCGCTTGGTGAGGGGGCTACCCTGTCCTCTGCACGGCAGTAACGTGTAAGTCAGTGGATAGTGAGCGGCGCTATATCACATCTAGTAACTTATTTACGATGGTCGTTGTCGTCCCCCGTAGCTCAGTGGTCTCAACCACGGACTGGCAACAGTCGAGTTGCGGGTTCGAGCCCTACCAAGGGTCCGATGAAATGCGCACTGCTGATGATTACCGAAATTGTGATTTATGAGTTAAAACCAAAAGTCATAACTAGAGCATGCCGAATTGCACAGATCAGGTAATAGAGGATACACACTATCATTAATAAAATTATAACTATTACTAATATCAGTAGAAGTAATATCGACATCACAGTCATCGTTCTCGCTAGGGACAATGGGTACAGTCCAAACTGCTATGGCGACCAGCCAAAAGCATCCCCAATGTTTTCTCCTATGAATACTTTCCCTATGCATGAACCTGTCTATGACGACCATATTTTGTCGGTCCCTTGAGTGGTCGCCTTAGACTGTAGTTTGTCAGCACATCGTACAAGTGCACCATTACTGTCCAATAACACAATGAGAAATGGCTATACGGATGGGAAAATTTAAGAGGATGGTAGAAAGATTCAACGTAAGACCTGATCGTTGTAAATAAACATACCATTGTGTTCAAAAAAAGTGAGCTTATGCTATCACATCACCTTACTGCTCATTGTACAAGATTTTAAGCACTCCCCCCTCAAAGTAGTCCGCTGTACTCACAAAGCACCGTTCTCAACGGTGCTTCTATTTTCGGAAAGCGCATGGAATGCATTTTTTGGAATGGCGTGCAGGTCTCCAGTCGCATTGTCCTGAATATCCTCTATGGTTTCGAGACGACGTCCTTTCAACGAGTTTTTACGTTTGGGAAACAAGGAAACATCTGTTGGGGCTAGGTCTGGAGAATGCGGTGTATCGGGCACAACGCAGTTTGGTGTTTTGCTAGATAGCTGCTGAAAAGCAGCGATGCGTGAGCCGGCGCACTGCCATGATGCAACATCCAAATCTACTTTTCCCACAGTCCAGGCCTTTTGGTGCATACAGTATCGGTCAATCGCCCTAGAATTCCCTGGTAGATTTCCTTGTTTAGCACCTAACGACGTGGTACGAATTCCTGATATGCAGTGCTTTTGGACGAAGAGACCCTTACAACATCAACTGCGAGGACTGCACCTTCGTTCCAATATCATAGCGATAAACCCACGTCCCATCGCCTGTTATCTAAAGGAAGTTTTCATTGCCGTCGGCAGTGGCAAGCAGTCCCTGGCTGATTTCAACACGGTTCTATTTCTGATCGTCAGTCAACAAGCATGCACTAATTTTGCACGAACACGACGCAGTTCAAGTTGGTCGCTCAAAAGTTGATGGCATGATGCTCACTTCGTTAGCAACTTCTCGAACGGTTAAACGATGGATCACAGCACGAACACTCTCGACATGGATCGACTTTGACCGACACGCTGCTGTGTACAAAACGCACTGCGTGCGATTGATAAAATCCTCTCCGTACGCTTGGCTAAACACCCGAGAAATCTATGTAAACGTTATCCTAGTATGCAGTAAAATGTTACACAAACGATGTTCTTCAAGCTTTTCATTGTTAACACTAATGTTAACACTAATCCGACGAGCGGCTGGTGAGGTGCTCATTTCAGTGGCTGTAGCTCGCTACCTAACGGTCAGACCGAAAAGTGGCAACTAGCAGTTTGTTGTCTAAACAAGCATCTACGTGCGCTCAGCGGCCGCAGCAGGCCACCTCTGCCGGTTGGCCCGCTAATTCAAAAGTACTTTCTTTTTGGACACAGTATTACACATACGAGACGCTTAGAGTATGTAAAACGTATGTTATGAAAATAGATGGCTGATCAGTTTGCACATTTTAAACATGTAGCCCGGCCAGGAGGCGATGAAAAATGAAGCAATAACACCACCAGTTGTGATCCAGAACATGGAACAAGTACTGTGGATTGTATTGATTGCATAGTGGAAAATGTAGTGGGTCAAGATTGAGTACTCAATCAAGTGATCAGCGATTTTAGTTCCAGTCGTCAGGGCAAATTTAGGTCCAACAGAACATTCGTGACCGGGTAAATACTGACTGAAACTCTCCTCGGAAACCTTGAGTTAGAATAACATAGTGAGAAGACAAATGTTGATAGGTACCAACATTTCGTATTATCGCGCCAGTAAAAACATGAGGCTAGGAAATGATCTGCACAAAAGTCAAAGTGTGTTGCCTAATCAATTACAAATAGTAGGGTGACCGGACGGTAAGTGAAGATTGACAACCAATTGCTTCCTTACAAAAAAGGTCTGTCTTATTTGGTTTAGCGCCAGGGAGTCGGTGAATCGCGAGAAACGCCGATTGGGGCGACGTAATAGGATCCGAAACATCAAGACAGACTCTATCCAAAGTCATCATCAAGCATCATCAATACACGTTAGCCGATGGTGAGAAACACACCTCAGCTAATGTGCCACAATACAAAAAGGTAAGACATTAGGCAATGTAGACCTAAAAGCCATAAAAAGCAACAAAATGCTGATATCACATTTTGATGGTTGTTGGGGAGGGAAGCTAAAAGGAAGGATAAAGTGACTCATAAGACAAACGCCATTGAGATCGACTCTTCCCCATGTCAGCTAGTGTATTCAACCAAACGTGTTCATCATCCTTAGGTGTGCAGCCACGCAGTCGGGAAACACCAACCGGCGCCAACTTTGAAGTGATGGCCTTCATTCCTCTCGACAAGTCATCGCTTGGCCACCTCTGCTCTTCTTCCATCCACACTCCCGGCGAGCAAACAACGCGCATCGCGGGAGCCAGTGTGTTGTCAAGTGCAACATGTTGCCCAGCCATCGGAGCCAGGTACCTGATGCACCGATGCTGAGCGGTCCATTCGCTCTTCCTGACCAAATACGCGACGCCGAACAAGTTCGTTGCTCACGCGGTGCTCCCGCCAGATATAAGCTAAGCTGTGAAGGCAACGCTGATACACTTGATGGGCCAAGTTTGGCAACCGTAATAGAGGGTTGTACGGACGGCTGCATTGTGAACACTGCCCTTCAAAGCCAGAGTAATGTCACACCGGCGCCACAGATAGCGAAGATTAGCAAAAGCGCATCGAGCTTTTGCTATACGGTTGGTCGTCTCATCTTCCGTTCCACTGGCACTGACATAGCCGCCCAGAGATCAGACTGATTCCTCTAACTGCCACATTCGGCCCAGGAGCCTCCCTTGAAAATTGGAACTATTACGGAGCGCCTCCAGTCTGTCGGGAAAGTCTCCTGCTCCCATAGGTTCACTAGAAGTTATGTAAATCGTGCATATTTGAAGACGGCTGGATGAGTATCTCCAATCCAAGGACATGACAACCAAATTTGCTTGCCTATTGAAAACACTATCGGCTTACGTGAACAAGGAGCACTGGAGGGGTTGGGCATGTGTTCCTTCACTCTGGAGTTCAAAACCCTGTCAGTTCGGCTTATGTAAGTGGCTTCGCATTTACACACAAACTGGTAAACACAATGTAATTCGGAGCCGATGGGTTCCCATTCTTTTACTGTAGGTAACGACAACTTCCAAGCTCTATCAATTGCTACGGTCTCTGCGACACAGAGCGTTATCTGAGTGGTAGCGATTAGGTAGTGCGCATCGTGGTGGCCCTATTCTATAAGTCTCATCGAGAAACACAGCCAAGTCGAGCCACCGAAAGAAATGGTGCTAACAGCACAAAATATTCCACTTAAGGGTCGGCCAATTCAATTTAATAGACAGGTTTTTGCAAGAGAAAATCAGTCACTGTGCACCAATGACGAACCTTCGTTACGTTACTATACCTGGAAAACAGAGGATGTTTGCAGTTTGCACTGCCCACTTGACATTTGTGCAGCATCATACCAGACTGGCACTGTAAAGTATTCCTTGAAACTGATGCAACCATCATTGATTTGTGTTACTGTCCATCTGTTAAATTGCTGAGCACGCCATATTACGAAGTGCCTAGTTCGCTCGGGAACACAATCGCTATGCTCGTGGGGCTAACGACTGTCCTCCGCACAGTTCGTAACCAGCATGACAGTGGAAGAGGAGCCGGACTATATCATAGTCAAATGTCAATCATGCAGATCCGCGGCTGTCACCCATGGCTTAGTGGCACTAGGTGCTGAAATCCGAGAGCCATGGGGTCGGAATCCGGCAGGGGTCCAAGGAGGGCGCACTACTGACGAGACTCAGAAGGTCGAAACACCGCTGTTACTTTTCCAGACGTGCCAAAGCCTACTGACTAAGAGTGGACTGTGACAAATTAGATCTAAATTATTTATTAACTATTTATAAATAACGATGAAAAAAGCGAGAAGCGACAGTACAGAGATTTAACGTACAGTGTCGAATTCGTCGGAGTAAGTTCTTCCGTCCGTGTATTGACCAGTAACTAAATACCGTCCGGGTTTGCCATTCGCTTTATCGACGGGTTTCAGCTGGCGTATCTAAATGATGGTGAACAAGAGAAGGGGATAGTTTAGTTATAAAATAAACCGTTGAGAATGATGTTCCGACTGCAATATAGGTTGGAAAAAAGCGAAAACTTGGTTGTGATAATTCTTTACGTCAGTCCTTAGCAATGGGTGGACGATAGAAACTGTGAGAATCACTATTAATAGTGATTACGAAGATGATTGAGAAGTCCAGGAGAACTATAGTTGCTTCTGCGAGACTGATTATATTCGCCTGAAGGCTCCAAGCCACCGTCCCCACCCGGCGACTTGCAGCGTGCGCTCTACACATCTATAACCGCAAAGGTTTACTAATTGTGATAGGCATAAACTTTCCGAATTGCAGAGTTGAATCAATTTACCTAATTTCGCTCGCCGTACTGTGTGCTGCTCCGACAACCATCCGCGCGATCCGAACCTAGACGTAAGTATGGTGCTGTGTGTCGTTATGTTTTATAGAACCATAACCACAAGAACATACGGGAATCCAGCTGTTCAAAAATAGACTACATGTAGTGCCCCACAGAAGTTTTTAGCTACGGTTCTTGGAGGTGATCAGAGTTCAGCGTTCGTTTGGCTGCTATAAGGATGATTGCGATGACGCTGGGAAATCAGTGCGCGACACCATCGGTGTGATGATAAACAACACCCACTTAGATCTAGACTGAGAAAGTTGTGCCGTAACAAGAAAAACAGCTGAATAAGTGTTATGGAAAACAAACGCGTAACTGTACCAGGAGAAAGTAATGGAAAACCTACTTCGGTTGGCACACACGAACGAATGAACTTGGTGCCGTGGTTCTTCATATACTCGCCGATAAATTCTGCCATCTGTTGATCGAAACCGCGTAACAAGATGGACCGGACCATCACCGTGGTATCGTTGCCGAAACTGGTTAGAAATCCGGCACATTCCAGCGACACATAGCTTGCGCCAACAACCAGAGTCTTTCCGGGATTATAGGATAATGAGAAGAGGTCGTCGCTGAAAGATGTGGGGGAAAGTAGGATGAGAAGAAGAAAAGATTGAACCGGAAAGTACAGCAACTTTCTTGTAAGGTAGTGACGGTCACCAATGCAGATAAAATAAGGTGGTTTACGAAACAAGCCACTGAAAGCGACACCGAAATTCGAATTTAAGAACATCCAAACGTAGATGGACCTGACGATTCTTCCGGAAACAATGTGCGTAAGGCAAACGTCGAGAAAAGCGCTACAGGAAGAGACGATCAGGGAAGGGCACTACGGAAAGCCGACGTACCTAGTGATGGCGTATTCCCGGTCACCAGGTATGCCCGGATAACGTGGTCGTTCTCCATTAGCCAGAATAATTTTATTGGTAGTGATCGTTGAAGTAGTGCCATCTTTCTTGGTTAGCTGAGGAACAAGAAGAAAAATGGAAGAGCATTAACAGTACGCTATGAAGCAGTGTCGACTCTTCGCTGCCAAGCAACCATCACCAGTCGCCTGTGGGCTAGAATCACTAGGAAGTCGTCCGCATGATCATGTACAAAGCATCATACCATTATAACCATCGGCAGTGGGTGCGGAAGCGGTACGCATACGATTAACGAATCCGGACCTACGCATTTAAATAAAAGACATTCAAACGCTCCAGCTCCCTTAATCACCATCCAAACCTGAGGCGTCGGACCTAACGCAGTAATCCAACGTGGCTTCTATCAAATGACCTCCAAACGCATATCGACAAAGTCGATTCGAATGTTTTTGATCAATTGTTACTCTTTATACGCATAAGTGATTTGTCAGCTTTTGACCGTTTATTTCCGTACTGAGTCTGATGACGAACACACCGAAAAGAATTGTTTGCCCTGAAACGACCGCCTACGTTTCTCTTTGGGATTAACAATAAACAGGCAATTTACAGAAACGTAAGTGGTATAATAAACACAGGCAGATGCAAGCTAGTTTCGACTTGGAAGCTCAAAGTAAACATAGAATCATACACGCGTCACATTATCACCATGCTGAACAAGAGAATAAACAAATTGCCCAACCATACATTCAGAACAAACCCACATGAGGAAGCGACTGCGAAGCGCAATCAAAGATACTTACTTCAAACGAATAAGAACAAGCTCTGAAACACAGCCTCTCTTTGGTGAAACCTTCAGCGAGACTACTCCGCATAGAAGTAGGTTCCCAGAACAATGGCCATAGTACTTAAATTGAATCTTAGACTACTTCCTTTGCTCTTTAAAATGTGATGCAGCCCTTGAATTATTCCAATGCATTTGTTAGTTCGGCGGAGCTATACGTTACTGGGCGCATTCCCGGGTTGCGGATTGGAGAACGCCATCATGGTGGAGACAACTGCAAGTAAGTCTCTGTGCCACAGGCTAGTGTAGGGATATAGAATCATGCTGATAAAGGTCGGGAGGCGAATAAATGCAAGCTGATACCGTGAAAATTTGCTAATACAAGTGGCAACGCGTTTTACAGATGTATAGCACAGCTGACAACTGTCAGTCATAAAGTGTGTCCTGTTGTCAAACGGGAACGAACAGAGTAGGCAAGACTGTGGCTAGTGAGTCGCTTACCACTCTTTAACCATGATGATGAAAGGTCGTCTGGGTCATGCACCAGATTTTGCTTAAGACACTAGATCGTGCCGGATCCAGTGAACGCTCGGAATTCGTTACGCCAATGCAGCCGGTAAGTATTCCTGCGTTTCAGCTGGCAAGTTTGATGCACCGAGCCGGAAAAATTGCCCTTGAAATCGATCAGACATGTGATCCGAGAGCACGGACAAGTCGGTGAAGCAGGCAATAGTAGTCTGCGAAATAGTCCAGCAGTTTAGCTACCTAGCGACATCTGTGCCCGAACAGTAGTTAAAGCTGTAGCCCACACGGAGCGGTGACAACTGTGGCCAACGACGAATACCGTAACCGGAGAGCTCACAAACCAGGCAAACCAGGGGGTAACAGGTCGGTTCGTAATAGCAGTAGCTCATGTGGCATTAGCTTCGGGTATACAATAGTGCCATCACCAGATATCAGTGATATGGTGATTCAGGCGTCTGAACTGCAGCGTCTGCTCCCCGAAGGGCCAAGTCCCAGCTCTAACCAATATTTGGGTGGCATGGTAGTACTCCAGCTTAGGTGAAACCGGTTGCGGTTGCAGGTCCCGTGTTGGTGCAAAGCAGATATATTTTTCACCCAGAAATCGGATCAACATTTGTGAACTATAGCAAGAACTAAAGTAAGAATTCGATAGGCAAACACGTACGTAAATAAATAGTACCGAGGTGGCAAAATATAACCGAATCTACGTAAAGCGACTGAAGCCCAGAGAGTTGAAGTTGGAACAAGTTGTCTGAAGATGCTGTAAGTCAAACGATAGGGCAGTAAGCGAGAAGAGTTCTAACAAAAAGGGACGCTGGTGACAAAGGATAAATAAGGTGGGGAAGTAAAAGCGCACTAACCTTAGATGCAGCCAGCCCTCCGGATCCACCGCCGATAACCACCAGGTCATAATCGTATGGACTCTGCTTTACAACGTCCCGTAACTTCCCTTCTTCCTTCAATTTAGATATACGATTCGAGTCACCTAGCAAATTTCAACATGAGCCAGATCATTGCTACGCTCACCGATGAATGCTCCTCGAACAAAGACCTGTGGAACAGTGCGAATCCCACTCTTGAGGGAAAGAGCCTCTATGATTTTACTACCATCCTCTAAAGCATAACGAACAGCGTGGGTTTAACTCACCACGTTGGTCCAGTTCAATAGTGGCGTGTTTGATGTTATTCTCTTTAAAAATCTCTTTAACCTATGAGAGAGGGGTTACTGGCAAAAAAGCATGCTACATTACCCGATGGCAGAATGGACATCGAGACTTGCTGAAAATTATCACTGCGGCAGAATCAATTGTTTTGTGCGTCCAATCACGCACACTTTCCGGGATTGGAGGCATTGCGTGTGACTGAAAAAAGGCAATAAACGAAGCTGTGAGGGCAAACGCCCACTTAGGAGACAAGTACGTAGCAACGACAATACGCGCCAAAGGCCGTACTTTGAAAAGACAAGTAAAGAAGTGGGAGTAAACGCGTTAGGTGATTTGTTTCGCTTTACAAGCAAAGCACTGCTGATGAGTTCAAAATAACCAAAACAGTGAAACACAGGAGAAACAATAAATGGCCGATATAAACGTATTTAGTGCTTGAGAAACAGTTTGCGAGGCTCTGAAAAAGAAAAGGGTACCAAGGAGGATGCCACTGACAAAGGAAGCCAGAAGGCATGGGATTTGGTCCGTGTAATTCAGAACGAAAAAAGCAGTGTACCGGTTGAAGACGCAAACAGGGAATGAGCTATATAATTCGGATTAATGCAGCGACAACACTGAAAGGTGATAAGCTAACAAAAATAAAGTTCGCCGATAGAAGTTGTGAGGAACAATTTATCATGACCTGAGGCTAGAGTGTCGGTGGCAGAATGGCCCTTATACTGCAGCCCCAAACGGTTGTACGTGGAGTAGGGTGTTGCACGGGCGCTGAAATCCATGCAAGGGAGAAAACTCGAACCCCGAGGTCCGGAAATGGCAAACAAAAGCCGGAACAATGGGGCTGAAAGTGCTCAAGGCGATAAGCAATAATCTAATCTCCACTTGTAATAAAACCAGGATTTATCAGTAGCAAAGCAATGAAAGCATGCCGTACACGTTGAATCTTGTTACGTCCATCATGTGCGATAGCACCAGTCAGAATGCATTGGTATTAGGGCCTGGGTGACAACGGACCCCCACAGCAAACGGTGATCACTATGGTAGTCTAGTGGCAATTTGCCAAAGGATCAACCGCACAAATAAGTGGATCCGATGCAAAGAGGAACCCCTGTTAACTAGGAACCAGTATGCGGCTAAAACCAAAGTTAGACACACCATTAAACGGAAGCAAGTAATATCGGCAGCACGTGTTCTGTGAACCATCGCAATGAGGCTGGACATTACCGTGGTGCGGTGGTTTGTGTGCCTCAGCGATCAATTCAACTATGCTGGGTGGTGCTTTTGCACCTTCAGAGTCACTCATACCAGATTGGTCAAAGGCAGACAAACTCAGCCTCCTGATACTACAGGTTGGGGGTTGGAATGAGGGTAGCACCTTACTCCTTAAAACGGACTCCTGATAGCCCAACGCCAAACCCGCTGCCTTGCGGTAAGGTTTTTGAAACAAAGGCTTTGGTTGAGAACCCTAATCGTTCTCCTGTCCAGGCATGGGCAACCTGACAGTATCCTGCCCACGCAATACAATGGATCTTCCCTGAAACAACTACTTGATACTCTGGCCACCGCAGAGGATAATCAACGGTGCCCTATTTGCTGCATCGAGCAGGGTGGATAGGGGTTTGGATGCTACTGCACAAGCCTTCCCGCCTACTTATTCCCCCTCCTACGCTATTTCACTCTAAACGTCCCGTTCCAACATCACATTTATCCCCCCAGTCTTTAACCCCCCTCCCCCGATTCTTGGCCCTCCGCAACATGCTTTGCTAGGCATTTAGCTTCTAGTTTCAACTCACATGTGAACGCGGAGCGTCACTCCTCTCCTATCAACAAGCCCATGTCCAACCAAGCGGTCCATTCCAGTTCATCGGTTTCCATTTGGAGCCCTCGATCCACCTTCAGATTGGCATGCCTCAAGGTACGCACATTACTACAGATCGGTCAACAGGCAGCACTTGCCCGAACACTGGAGACCATCTCGATGGATATCTGCTGCTTATCGGAGACCCGCCTGCAAGACTCGAGCTCTGTGCTCACTCAGTGACCAACTACAGGTGACATAAGCAGCATTTTCTCATTGCACCTATCCGGTGACGATGCAGCTTCGAGAGGTAGGTGAACCTGTTGGAAGCTAGAAGACACCTCCAGGTTGGTTCTGAACACAATGTGACCAGACGGGCTATTAGGAGTGAACTAAAACGGAGCCTACGTGCTGACAAGGAAGACTGGAGGACCAGTCGGGCTCAAGAAATGGAGGAGGCAGGAGCAGTAGGCAATTACCGCAAGCTCTTCCGGCTAATCCGCACCACTGGTCCCAGGAATCTAGGCGTCAGTGAGACAATCAGAGACAACGTGGGTGCGCTGATACACAATAACGAGCGCCGTATGGCTCGTTGGGCTGAACACTTTCAACATCAGTTCAGCTGGCCCCCTGCTCCCGGACCTCTTTCTACTCAGGTGATGCAGCACGAGCCATGGACGGTTAGTTAAGAGCCTCAGTCAAAGGCCGAGGTCCGAAACGCGACCGCAGCCCTCAATCGTTTTCGTGCAGCTGGCCCGGATTCCCTCCCACGTGCACTATTTAAGGATGGAGGTGAGGTCCTTTGCAAGGCACTGAATTCCCTATTCGAACGTACCTGGAAAGAAGAGAGTCTGCCGGCTAACTGGAGTGGAAATATACAAGAAGGGCAGTCGCACAGACTGTTCTAACCACAGGGGTATTAGCATAACGCCAGTTATGACAAAATTACTGGCCTCGATTATCGTTCGTCGCCTCACTGCAGAACGGGAATCTCGGATTGGGGAAGAGCAGGCCGGTATTCGCCCAGGACGTGGCTGTATAGATCATATATTTACTTTGCGGCAGGTGCTGGAGCAGCGCCACGCATACCGCAGACCGACAATAGCTGTGTTCCTCGATTTCAAGAGTGAGTTCGATTCGGTCGATCGATCGAGTCTGTTCGAATTACTTGCGCGGAAAGGTGTTCCCACGAAATATGTGAACATCCTTCGTGTTGTGTACTGGAACACTACAGGCCGCCTCAGGGTCTATGGTGTCCTATCGGATAGCTTTTCGACTACAAGTGGCGTTCGTCACGGTTGTCCCATTTCCCCGTTTTTGTTCAATTTCGTCGTAGATCCCATCATGGAGTGTTCCCAGACGGAATCCAACGATGCAGGCGTTGAAGTGAAAGGTTAGTTGACCTAGATTATGCGGACGATATCGTCTTGCTTTTCGACGATTTTGCGGCGGCACAATCAACCCTGAATAGCCTATCCAGAGTGGTCCCATTATTTGGTATGCACTTCGCACCTTCAAAGTGCAAAGTGTTGCTGCAGGACCACCAGTCACTCGATGACCCCTTGACGCTTACTAACGAGGAACTCGATGTGGTTGATCAATTCACTTATCTTGGCAGCTGCATCAGCAATGATGGGCGCATAGAAACTGACGTCAGCTTACGCATTGCAAAGGCCAGAGCTGCCTTCTAGAACCTGCGTCATCTTTGGCGACAGAAGGGAGTTTCTCTCCGTCTGAAATGCTGTATATACAAGGCCACAGTGAGCGCCGTTCTGCTCTATGGTATTGAAACTTGGCCCCTTCAGTCTGAAGATCTGAGGCGACTTCAAGTCTTTGATCATCGTTGTTTGCGAAGCATTGCTGGTGTCGGATGGCACCAGCGTGTCCGCAACGATGATGTGCGTAGGCGAGTACTAGGTGGTGATGATCATGCTAGCTCCCTAGAACAACAGATAGCACTGAATAAGTTACGTTAGCTCGGGCACGTGCTACGCATGCCTGGTCACTGACTACCAAACTGGGTGCCGTTGGTCCGTCTCGCCTTCCGGGTTGGAGACCAGGTGGCTCACTTTGTGCTTGGCTTGAGACTTTGCAGGATATGGCTCGCAACCGACACCATTGGCGCGTCTGCTGCCGTCTCCTAATCGGATTGTCTGTTTAAAGTGTGTTTGATGCTGAGTTATCTGCGGTGTAATGGTTGAGTGTGACGCGGGGCAGTGAAAGCCGCAAGGAAGCTGTCTCGCCGATGCCGCCTTATCTTTGCACGATAGCCAGCTGTTTGTGACGGTATGTTGTTAACACAAAGTGTAGGCGCCTTGACCCAAAACGTTTGCTTAGGGCATTAAGGTTTTCAGGTAAGTCCCCTTTCTCTCCATCTTCTTATTCGTTATTTCATAGCTCCTCATGGTTGTATGGCAGCAAAGCATAAGTTCAAATGGCGGATGTACTGATGATGATGATGATGATGATGATGATGATGATGATGATGATGATGATGATGATGATGATGATGATGATGATGATGATGATGATGATGATGATGCAGCTTCGAGCACCGGCCAAGCTGGTGTTGGCATTGCCCTGAGTCCCCGTGCTGAAGCTGCTCCGGTTGATTGGATTCCAATCAGTAGCCGGATGTGTGCCGCCCGATTGGCTGGCTCGTTCAAAGCTTCGAAGTCGTGCGGGACTACTAGGTGTCTATTCATCATCGCTGCATACGCACCCACAAACTGTAGCGATGATTCAGTAAAAGACGACTTCTACCGCCAACTGACCCAGCTTCTTCGCCACAAAAGAAGCACGGACACTGTTGTACTGGCGGGGGATCTGAACGCACAAGTTGGAAACTTGTCCACTGATGAAATGCATTTGGGCGGTCAGCACGGTGTAGGCTCCCGTAATGATAACGGTGAGCGGTTACTTCATTTGTGTGAAGATGCCCCCTTATTTCTTGCGAGCACTAACTTCCGACACAGCACCCGCCGGAGAGTGACTTGGCGCCCACCAGCCTCGAACCAGTCTTGGACGCAGATCGATCACATTGCTATCAGTTACCGCTGGAGAGGCTGCATCCAGAACTGTCGCTCGATTTGGAGCACATGTGTGGACACCGATCATGCACTTGTCTGTGATGACATGCGGATGCGTTTTGGCGGAGATCCACGACTACGCTGTGAGCGCATTAACACCAGCCAATTGACAAAGCCAGCTGTTCTGATTGCGTATCGAAGTACGCTGACATGCGAGTTGAGTAAGCGCTCACTGGAGGCAATTGATGGTCACTGGTCACATGTTCACCAGACTTAACTAGCAGCAGGCAAATCCTCATGTGGTATGTCTAATAGCCAACATGGATATTGGACCTCTTCGCGGTCTCTGGAACTTATCGACGTTCGCTGGCATA